AGCCTCTGGAATTATTGCTGCCCTCTTTGGTGTGTTTGCTGCACGAGCTGCCTGTCCTGTGTCTTTTTGAATACCTGATCCTAAGACCACAATAGTATAAACCATCATTTGATCACCTTCTTCTTGCCATGAGAGCTTTGGACTTGCATTGTCCTCCCCAGCTTGCTTACTTCCTCGATCTGTACCTGGAAATATCCATGCCCTTTGAAAACTTTTCATTGTTTACATTTGCTTTCAGCTCTCGTGTCGCACATTCAAAAATCTCCTTCAGGCACGCAATTGCTTTTGCACTTGTGTTTTTTTTTTCCAGGTCTAGTGTATATTCTCCGTCCTGCATCTGACACCCCTCTAGTAATATCCAGAGGGACTTTGATAAAGTATCTCTCTCTGTTTTGTTTTCTTTCTTTTTTTTTCTTTTTGTGGTCAGCCACTTTACATGACACCCACCTTCTAGCTCTTTGTGGATCTGCTAACCCCTATCTAGCTCTTTCGCTTGTGCTTTTTGGATGCAAGAATAATTTTGTGTGGCGAGAAAAAGGGGGTTTTATATACTGCTTCTCCTCTTGCGACATTGTGAGTTTGTAAAAAGCATTGGGTATGTGACAATGTACTTGTTTTTGGATCAAATAATGGACACATCATTCTTGGATGAGAGAGAGAGAAGTTTTACACTGTAGAAGAACTGATTGCTTCCAGAACAAGGAAGAGATACAGATATCCTTCTGTTGTACAATTGATACATGAATATTTTAGATGTTGCAAGAAGAGCCAGATAAAAAATCCAAGAACAAAAGATGGATGAGACTACTCTTGCTTTGATTGCTCATCACGCACCCAACCGATGGCTTGACCGACCTGTACGTATTGTCCGGGCTTGATATTCCAGCTCCAACCACCTCTTCTGTCCTCTGAAGTGCCACTCGCTTCACCCCATCCTTCATCAAACGAAGGTCTTCTGCCCTTGGGGGCTTCAAAGACCAAGACGATGGTGCTGCCAAGTTGGAAGCCGCCCATTTCCTCGCCACGCTGCAAGGGCTGGCCGTGCAGTAGTTGAGAGGCGTTGTTGTAAGTGGCTTCTGCAAACCCAGAATAAGGCTCACCTTTCTCTGCTGCGGTGGCGGCTGCGCGATCGGCTGCAGTGTCTGTGGTGAGGGAGTTTGTGCGAAGTTCCTTGTCAAAGTTGATTTTGATGGAGCCGACGTTTGTGGCTCCTACGGGAGTGTATGAGAAGAAACCGTAGCGCCAGCGGCTGAGGAGGACGACGCGTTCGTTGAGGGTGAAGAGACCGGGGAGAGTGCGTTGCAGGTAAGGGGATACGGAGAAGAGTTCGCCGGCAAAGTGACGACGGGACTCGACAACCCATGAGCAGGGAGAGTGGAAGCGGTGGTAGTCACCAGGGGCGAGGTAGATGACTGCATAGTAGAGGGCTGTGGGTCTGGCTGCGGTGGAGACGGGTTGCCACCAGTTGTCTTGTGCACCACCGCCATCGCCCAGAGCGAGCGAGTCGCGGACTTCTTGTTCAGAGCTGGCTCTCGCGGGAGTCGACTGATCTTCAGTAGAAGTCTTGGGACTGCCTTTACCAGTCTTGGGGTTGGAGAACAGATTGGGTAGGGTATATGAGATGCCGTTTATCTGGGCGAATTCCTCGTCTGCACGGATGATCTCCTGGTCTGCTGACTTTGAGCGATCTTTGCTGGGTTGAGGGTTTGCAGTGGCGCGAGTAGGCTTCTGCGAGCCGAGGAGAGCGTCGAGAGAGTAGGTCACGCCCTTGACTTGTTCGACCTCGCCGTTATCGATGGTACCGAACTGGATGACTTTGCCGTCTGCAGGACTGAGGAGAGCGTTGGGGTTGGGATCGAGGGGNCGAGCGCCAGGCTTGAGTGTGCGGTAAAAGAAGGAGGCCAGGTTGGGGAAGACGTGGAGGTCGGGCTCGTTGATTTCGTCAAAGTTGACACCGAAGATCCAGCCGTACAGCTTGAAGCCTGGCACACGGAGGTAGTAGGGGATCTCGAGCTCGTTGAAGCGACCCCAGATACGCGACATGGCTTTTAGTGGCAGAGTAGACATGATCTGGACCTGCCAGGGACCCGAAGGTCTTATGCGCTGCCTCTTGGGAACATTTCCTCCATCTTCGAGTTCGGCCTGTTGGCGAGCCTTCTCTTCTTCGTTCTGGCGAGCTTGGGTACGGTAGAATTGGAAACCACCTAGAAAAGCGATACCGAGACCGACGGGGATGGGTTTCCAGACGACTTTTGTATCGCGCAGGGCATTTCGAAGGCGTGTGCCAAAGGGAGCGTGCGAGGGGCGAGATGATGAAAAGGGTCGTGAAGTCTGGTATCTCAAGCGCTGAGAGGCTCGTAGTAGAGGTGTGTGGGAGTTGCCCAAGGCGCCATGCCGTAGGACTTGGGTAGACGACATGTTGGACGGCGTGACAAAGAGTTGCAGGGAAAACTCGGTGACGTGATAGCTGTATAGAGGACCCCGGATTTCGTTCCTTCCCGAATTGACGTAGCCGCGGTAGGGCTGAACGGCCAGCTTGACCAAACACTTGGCTACTCACTTTTACATGTGAAGACCTTCTTTCCCATCGCTCGCGACTTCCGGCGTCACGGCGACAAGCACAAAACATGGCACAACCGACGCGCACCCTGTCGCTCCGGATCCTCTCGCCGTCGGCCGAAGTGGGCGATGGCCTCGACATGGCCGACGTGCCCATCGACACGACTATTGCCGCCCTGAAAGCCATGTTGACCGACCTGATCCCCTCGAACCCCCAGCCTGATCGTATGAGACTCATCCACTTTGGTCGCTTCCTGGCCGACGACAACGAGACACTGGCACACCTGTTTGGAGAGGCCGTCATCACCCAAACCACGCCCTTCATGTTACATCTGGTTGTCCGCGCCCCTCCCACCCCCATCGAGACTGCAGCTACTCGCCAACCGCTCTTTGCATCATGGGGTGCCCAGAATCCCGCAGGAGGTCCTCCACAACAACAACAACAACCAAACGTCCTCCCGCCAGGCGCCGCGAACCATCCCTTGATGCGACCAGGTGCTGCCTTCGTTCCTCAGCCTCAAGGCGCTACTGCTACACCACCTCATCCTGCCGCTCCTACTCCTCCTCTACAACATGGCCACCCTCCGCCACCAAACCTGCTGCAACACCTCATGGAGCGTCAGCAACAACATCTCAGACAACTCCATCCACAGCTCCCGCTACCGGGAATGCCACGACCCACTCCTCCTCACAGCGCCCCACACACTCCACCTCCTCCGTTCGCGAACCAGCACGCCCATCCACATGTCCATCATCACCACCACCCGCATGTTCACGCCCAGCCCCAGCCACAACACCCACAACAGCGCACCGCTACTATCACAATAAATCAAAGCACTATTGCAGTGCCAATGCCTCTTGGGCCACATGGAATCCCCATGGGCCACATGCCTTTACCTGGCTTCCCACCAATCCACAATCTGTTCCACCAACAATCTCAACCACAAGTCCAGCAATTCAACCCTGCTTCTCCCACAGTCTACCTGCTGTCGTCGCGTAACGGCCCACAAGCTCTTCTCTTCTCACCACAAGGTACATACACTGCGAGTCTACCACACACTCTTGGACCTGCTATGCCCACTATCCCCAATCCACTCTTCGCTCACTCCCAACCTCACACACCTGCCACCCAAGCCGCGCCACCACCTGGCTTCCAACCACCTCCTGTCGTTGTTGATCCTCCTCAACCTCTAGAACAGGTCGCACAACAACTCGTCCAACAAGTAGGTCAAGGAGGTGCAGTGGACCAAGGGGCCGCAGAGAACCAAGAGGTCGACGTCCTTGCCCCGTGGCAGCCCCTTTTGGCTCAGGGCTGGATGTTGCTTCGACTCTTGTTCTTTGCATGGATCTTGCTAGGCACAGGTCAGGGTTGGCGAAGACCATTGGCTCTTCTCGCGATTGGTATCCTCTTCTGGGCTATTAATGCTGGTGGAATCGGTAATACAGTCAGAGATGCTGTGCGTTCGTGGTGGGAAGCTGTTGTTGGGTTGCCTGGTCAGCCTGATCAGCCTGATCAACCACAAGAGCAGGAACATGGTACAATCAGACAAGCCTTGAGACCTGTTGAGCGCCTGCTTGCTCTTCTCATCGCATCACTATGGCCAGGAGTCGGTGAACGCACCGTCATTGCCAGAAGAGAAGCAGAGGAGAGACAGAGACGCGAGGAAGGAGAAAGACGGGCCGCAGAGGCAGAGCGCCAAAGATTGGAAGCCCAGCCGTCTACCAACCAAGAAGATCCCACAAGTACAGGAGAAAGTGATCCGGTCACCACAATCGAAGGACCATCCACTACCACGGCCACTGGCAATGATGTCGCTGCCGAGGGACAAGAAGTCAGGGAGAGAAAGCCAGTAACTCATGACTCCAGCACAGAGCAAGCATCAACATCAGAACCCGTATTGTCACGCGAAGAGCAGAGGGCACAACAGCTCAGCAATCTTACACAAGACTGGTGAAAAGGAGTTATAATCAAGGGGTCTCACTTCTAGTCTTCTTCCGCATGTAGCGAATATACAATTGCAAGCGAGCGATATCTTCTCTGATACCCTTTCTTTCAAAAACCAATGCACCTTATCTCCGTCCCTGGTCGCCCTTTCTTGCACTCGAATGACCATGACATTTCTAAAGTGACAAAAAGAAGCAAAGGATTGACGAAAGCAGAAGTGTACACAGTAGTTCTAGTATGTATGATATGCAGCTAAGTATATCGGAGACGGCAAAATGCAGAAATGTCCTTGAGAGCCATGTTACACCACACCATACCACACCACACCATACCATGCGATCCTCAACAGCAAAAAAAGAAGGAAAAAGGAAACCCTCCCCTTCTCACACCCGTCCACCACAACCTCCCACACCCACGCAGCAAAGAGCAAAACCCCCAAGCAAAGACACCTCTCCAATGCAAAAAGAACTCCATACACAACACTCTCCCCTTTCCCTCAACCACTCGTCTTGGCAAACACAAAATCGATCCTCGATCTCTGCTCCGTGACCAACGCCCTCAACACCACATCCTGCACTGCATCCTCTGCTTTCTCCTTGACTGCAACGATGCCATCTTCTTCTTCACCGTCGACTTCGCCATTGCCTAGTGCAATCTCTTGTCTCAGTTTGACGGCATCGAGATGGGAGAATTGCATCAGGGAAGCCATGGCCACTTTTTCCGTGTCTTTGCCGTTACTNGCCTTTTTCTTAGGAGACAGACGGGAGTGCAGGGCAGAGTGGTGTTGGCGGCGTAAGCGTTCTTGGGTCTCGGGGTCGATTTGGGAGGAGCGGAGGAATGAGGGGAGGGCGGGCATTTCTTCTTCTTCGTCTGCGGCTTCTGCTTCTTTGTCTTCGTCGTCTCCTGCGGCTGATGCTGAGGCGGTGATTGGTGATGACGAGCTGGATATGGGGATAGAACCATCGCATGCGCAGTCGCAACCGAGAAGATCATGAGTCTGACAACTCTCGCGTGGATCCAATGTGAACAGATCCCTAAGTTCTTCGGGTGAGAAGCTCGAGGCATTTGCCTTGTTGTCCACAATCGAGTCGGCCAATCCTTGCTTCGTGAGCTGGCGCTGGAATATCTTCTCCTCCAGTGCTCCCTTGGTCAAAAAGCGGTAGATGTGGACTGGGTGTTTCTGACCATCGCGGTGCACGCGACCCATAGCTTGAAGATCAGTTGCCGGGTTCCAGTCAATGTCGAAAAGGACCAAGCGACTGGCGCCTATGAGGTTCAGGCCAACACCTCCTGCCTTTGCAGAGAGTAGAAAGACGAAACAGTTGTTGGCTGAGGTACGATTGAATTTGTCGACCAATCCTTGACGTTGGTTTGCAGGTGTCGAGCCATCGAGGCGCAGAAAGGAGTATTCGAGAGCAGTCAACATTTTGCCAATCATGTCCAGGGTAGCTGTGTAGTTGGAAACCACCACAACCTTCTCTTGCGTTTTTGTGTGGACGAGGTGGAGGAACTCGTCTAAAACCTGTAGCTTGCTGCTACCGCCTGCACTCTTAAGATCCGAAGCAGGGACTCTGGATAGCAGTGAACTTATCGTGCCCGCTTCGCTCTCGGAGGCGTCTTTGATAAGAAGTGAAGGGCTGTTGCAGAGCTTCTTCAACACGTTGATCATCGCAAAGGAGGCTTCGCTACTCTTGAGTGCTTGGTTCAAGACCCCAGTGCTAACGACGGCCTCATACACATCCTTCTGCACTTGAGTCGGCTGGCAGTACACGACGTACTCGGTTTTCGGAGGCAAATACTTTGACAGAATCTCTGCAGTTCGTCGAAGAATGAACTGACCAGTAATCGATGCAAGCTCTTCACTGCAGGCCTGTCCTTTTTCAATGTCCTTGGCAGTCGCACCCGGTGTTCTGCTTTTGAGAATAGGACTCTCGTACTGCTTTTTGAAGGATGACCATGTCTTCAAAAGTCCAGGGTTCACGAAATCGACCATGGTGAAGAACTCGCTCAAGTCGTTCTGGATAGGGGTACCCGAAAGGATAACTCTTCGCTCGGTGTTTAGAGATTTGATGGCCATGGCTGACTTGTTGTTGGCCGTCTTGAGTCTATGACCTTCGTCGGCGATGACAATGTCCACACCTAATCCTTGTTGCAGTTCCTCCTGAACGTTGCGGAGCTTCTCGTAGCCAATGATCAAGATGTTGTAACTCTTGCCTTTGGTGAAGTCGCTGAGTCTGGTTTTGTTGTTCTCGGCAACCATAACTCCCACTTTCTCATTGCCCAGCCATTTCTTAAATTCTTTGCGCCAGTTGTTGATGAGCGTGACAGGGCATACGATCAGAGCCTTTTTGATCACAGGACCGTCCTCGTAGATTGGATTTTGTTTGAGCAGAGTCCAGACCAAGGCAATAGTCTGCAGAGTCTTTCCCAGACCCATCTCGTCTGCTAGGATTGCACCCTCGCCTACAAAGGGTCGCATTCCCATGACGCACTCGTACAAGAAGGCCACACCAGCGCGTTGGTGTTCTCTGAGATGCTTGGTCAGGTTTGGATCAACAACTACGTCGACAATGTGCTTTCCATCAGGTACGTGCTTCGGTCGCTTCATGACAAGAGTGTTTGGTTCGTTAGGGTCGTGACGGGGAAGACAAACAGTCTTGCCATCTGATTTTGAGCGTGAAAGAGGGACGCCGGTCTTGTCTAGCATTGGGCTTCTGAATGCTGCAGTCGGCTTGTTGAGCATACTGGCAGACCTCGGCGGTGCTTCAACTTTCGGACTGGAATTGAAGGCAGCAGTAGCCTTGCCGAGCATGCTGGCCGGCTTTGTCTGCATCTGGACAGGTCGAAGTGGCGTCCGAGCAAGAGGTACAGATGGCCGTGAGATAGTGCTGGCGGGTATGGCAATAGCTGGCTTCGGGGCTTTCTTTTGAGGCAACAGAGACTTCGCTTCTTCTCTAGAGATGCGTGAGTCTATCTCAACCTCTTTGCCGCTCATACTGAGTGTAGATCCTGGGAGTAATGGTGTTTTGCAGACCGTCCTGCCAATGTCCTTGCCATCCGAATCTTTGAGATTGGCATATCCTTGCGAAACGATGAGTATGCCATCACCATCCCAGATTTTGTTCTTCTTGTTGGTTATTTTGCGCCAAAGAACTGAGAACCTTGCGTCCGCTGTGTCTTCGAATGGCTTTCCAGGCGACTCGCAGATAGTATCTGAAGAGTTTCCATCCTGTTCAGGCTGCTGTGGCGAGACTTTTAATCGTTTGCTCGGTCGTTCAGCAACGGGTTCCTGTGCTTGCTGTGGAGTACATCCAGGCGGTCTGGTGAGCAACGGCGATTTGAATGGCCTGTACATGCCGTGCTGAGTTGAATGTTCGCTCAAGGATTGATTGAGTTTGCCACTCGTGGCTGCAAGCCTCACGGATCGTTAAACTCGTGGAGGAGGACGCGTTGTTGACGCGCGACCACGACATCACTGCTCTTTCCAAAATTGTGCAACCACATTTCGACTCGCTCTTGCATGGATGAGGATGCATTATTTAATTGGGAAAACCCGGTCAACGCAAGCTCTTTGGTCTTCTGGGAATACAGTGGTCGGCAACTTTGACACAATACTTGATTGTGAGCGGTCAAGTTAATGAATATATTGTTCGATTGACAAGTCGCAGTAGATCACTAATAAGCCTATCCTTGTTATCTTACTCATCCATACACCCTTGGGGGTCCTTCGTCCATGCTATCGCGACCACTTCAAAGCAATACTGCAACCACCCATTGTTTTTCTCAAGCCGAAAGAAATGCCCAGTGTTGATGATGCCGCCGAAAATATGAGCAGAGATATACCACCCGTAGTCAAGGGTCTTGAAGCCAAATAACGCCATGCTAAACTCAAAGCTCGCTTTTTCTCCATTAAAAAGCAGGCCTTGCGAAAAACGCCCAGTGAATCCTTCCCAAACATCGAACTGGTCGCCTCAGATCACCACTTGATCTGAGACTAGTGCAGGAAAAAAGAGGCGACGAAAGAAAGAGTTGTTGCCGTAAATCGCGATGGGGGCAGATCGTAATGCCGTCCGAGTAACAATATGTAGAAACGCCTTTTGAAGCACAAGTTGGCCTTTTCATCAAGCAATGAAGTGTATGCGAATGGTCAAAGCAATTTGTTCGAAATTGAGAGATGGTGTCGATCTTTCAACTTTTCGCGAGTGGTAGTTCGTAAGTTGTGCCTATCTAGCAAGCGGTCTTCTCGCCGTCCACACATGNACTGTAACAGAGTCAGTAAAAGCCGTTGGGCTGACTACAAAAATGGGTATCGCTTACATGTTTGTGTATGCGTGGATTGAACGGTTGCGGATTTCCGCTCTTACTCCGGCAAGGAAGCCTTCGATTTCTTGCTTGCTCCAGCCAAACACACGTGAGAATGGGCCTAGACTCAGTGCTTCAAGGCCAGCACAGAGGTCTAATGCAGTCTGATGAAAGTTGCCGATGTTGAAGGCAGTAGGGTCAGTTGACCATGCCCGATATGGTGCTTTGATGACCCGTTCTGAGATGTCGGTGAAGCCAGCCTGGGACAAGGCTTGTCGGGTGTTGTGCGAGTAGCGAATGGTCTTCGGTGTCTGGTCTGTAGCCCGCACCAGATAGTCGTACCATTGCCTGAGATAGGAGTCTGGAGGAAGTGTACCATCGTCACAACGAGGCTCAAAATCTATTTCGAGTTGTTCGATACATCCAAACCCGGGTCGGAGATGTNNCTGGTGCTGTCAGCTTATTAGATGAATGCTTTTGTGAGAGGCTTACGAAAAGACTTTGGCGTATAGATTTGGCCAGCTTGAAACACTACCACAGAGCATTTGCAGATGAATCAGGTCCCACGAATCTTGGCCCAGACTCCAGTAAGGTGTTTCGAAATTGAAAGGTATTTGGAAGCGAACATTGGGTGGGATCTGAGCAGGTTGGAGGTTGGCAAGATCTAAACCGAGGACCTGACAAGATTCGGTCAGTAATCAAACCCATGAAACGAGCCGCAGAACAATTACCTCTCCCTCTGGGTATTGNCCTATTGAAAAGCGCGTTAGCTTGAGCCCGTCACGACAGGAAGCGGTAGACACTTACTCGCCCATGTCAATTGCCCAGAAGCCAGTTCCGCACCCAAGGTCCATGATTCGAGGACGATGAGTGACCTCGGGGATCAACCTCGCCGAGTGCAGGCTCAACCCAGCCTTGTCGTAGAAAAGGTTGTGGTATACATCCATGCGATGGCGTTCTTCCNNTGGGATTGAGCGTCAGCATGTGCGACAGACAGGCCAATGCGTGAATGGGCAAAAGTTTAAGAGAGAGCGGCTCACCTCGTCATGCGGGTACATGTATAGACCCTTCTGCCATGCATGGTACCAGCGTCCATTCTCTTCATACCATTCTTGCTGCATTGGTGCTCTTACGGAGACAGATNNCTGTAAAAAGAAGAGGGTAAGAAACTGCGAGACCGTTGGACGTGAAAGGGACAAATTGGATGAGCTGGCGGGAGCGCGTTGAGGCTAGGAGGGAGTAGGAATGGATACGCACAGCACTTCTTGAGGGGCAACGAGAGACGCGACTGCTATTCTAGACATTATCAGGAAAAGCCACAGCACATGATCTCCAATGACAGCGAGGACGGCGCGCGGGCGGCTATGAGCAAGCGCAATTTGAGAACTGGGTGGCCAAGAGAAGAGCGACGCGCCCCGGGGCGTGAACAGGCGAAGATTTAGTTAGCAGCAGCTTAAAAAGCAGCGACAGCAGGCAGTGGCAGTAGCAGCAGCAGTAGTAACGTCGACAAGGCTCGGGGGACGTGGGCGGCGGGGCGGGGCAGAGGCACTTTAAGGACACACGCAGTCGAGTTCCCAGCGAGACGGGTGCAGAGAAGTCATCAGCAGCGGCAAGCTGCACAAGTCTCGGATGGCTCCCGGGCTAGTGCTAGCAATCTGCTTTGTGGGAAAGGGCAAGAGAAGCACCTACCTAACAGAAACAAAATAAAAGGGCGCCAGGGTTAGGCGCAGGCAGGAGCCGTGGATCGCAAGGTTCTACAGCACAAGCTCGTGCATGCTTCGGAGCGGATGGCATTCCCTTGGGCTCGCCAGTTGTTGCGGTGTATCGCCCCAGGCATCTTCTCGTCTCTACCAAAACACCAGCTGCACATGCCCCCACAGCAGACGGGGTTTCAAGTTGGGCCGGAAGCTCAGGCTCGGCACGACACCGTCTCACCTCTGGCGGCTGACTGGCTGACCACGCCGTCGGGGTCGGTCCATTAGGACAGCACGGCGGATGAGCTAGAAGACGTGGCAGGTACACCGTTTCCCTGTGCTCTGCACCAAGCCCAGCTTTACGGATCGTCCTCTCGAATGGGCGACTAAATACACGCCCTCGTGCAGCCCGAGTTTCGCACTTCCTTCCTTTTGGGCCGCTGGTGTTTTCCACCTTCTGCTCTGGTTCCACGACAGATTCTCTCCCGCCGACTTGCCTCTGTGTTGAGCGTGCCACTGGCCACAGCACCGAGTCACTGCAGCACCAAGTTAATATCGCCAAAGTGCTGTTATCTCGGATCCCGGTTCCAAGATCCCTGCTTGCCGCTAACAGCCCGCTGTCCCAAGAGGCCGGCGCTCTGAACCACCGCAAACCTTCCACTCGGTCGGTTTTCTTCAGCGTAGCCGACTGATACAATATACACACCAGTCTGTCCTCCTGCTTCAACTAGAGAAGTTAGAAGATTTGCTAGACATGACCCCATCGAAGAGCTTCGGCCAGCACGGCTCTGGCCAATCTACGAACTCGACACTCTCCATGCGAGGAGCACACCATGAACAGCACACCGGGTCAGCCGACTCCGTGGGCTTGCGAGTGCTGACATCACAGACTGAAGCTGGAAATTGCAAACCTGGAACGAGCAACACATGCTTGCGCCCTGCCATCTCGAGGCATGTTTTATATACAACCACAGACGAGCCACTTGGTGAAGGTTTAAACGACATGAGAGTCCCTTCCGTCAAAAGGCGCTCCACCGGCAGGGGGCTTTGTGCAAACGGCTGGGCCGTATCGCCGGTTCCTGCCGCCGCTATTTCTGCAGTCGTGGCCAACAAGGTTCCGATGGTAAGAAAAAGACTGGGCCGTGGCAGGTTGAGAGGCATGAAGGGCGTGATGTGATGTGCTCCAGAATGGATCCAGACAGTGTTTACTCTCACATCAAAAACTTGACCCGCTCGGTCTCGCTGGGATAAATCACGACCAAGACCTGGACTGCTTCTACTCGAGTATGAAGTCAAACATGCATGCAGCAGAACTGCGACGCGACCCGAGAGAGTTGTGTTTGCACTATCTCCTGGTCACTGATGAGAGCTATGTGCATCACGATGGTCAAGTTCACATGCTCGCTCTAGCGGGAATGCTCTTTCGAACCACTCTATCCTCCTCATATGTGAAGCCTTTCACCCGAGCCTTCTCTCGTTGGTACCCACAGCTGCTTTTCGACTAGAGTCGTATCTAATCAAAGCTGGTCTAACAACCATTTGCGGTGAGTGGCTCTGAGCGTTGCGAAAGTACTGTGCATATCTACAGCAGCGTGACGGGATTTAGCACGGTAAGGGCATAGTAACAACATCGGAACATGACATCTGGCCGATGCCCGTACAAGATCGACTCGCGCTCCATTCCTTCGGGTACTGCTGTCAGCGTCACCCAATCACACAACTTTCGGTGTACAGCCAGGCCGACCCTGATAGATCATAGCGTTCCGAGCTTTTTGAGGCGCGCGACGGGACCGCGGCCCTCTCGTTCGTGTCGTCTTGGCAGCCGCACTCTATCGAGTAAATGGGGATTGACAGGGACGGACAAGCTGACTCAAGTGCAACCCGAAGTGCTGGATTTTGGGTTCCACATCTGTGTCTTCTGTTCGTGCTCATATCTTCAATCAGTCCCAGTGCCTGTGAGCAAAACAGAATGGAGGACCACTCGATCGGCCAGCGACATGAGCACAACGTGGCGTTATGCATCCAATCGGTGAACAAGCGCGATGGATGCACGCCTATGGAGAAGCCCTGGACATTGTACCACCCTCGCTACCAACTACACAAAGGGAGGGCATCGCGAGCTTCATCTAATTCCGAATTTGCTACTGCTAATGCACACGCATCATGCGTTCCAAGAAGCAGTAAGATACGCAAGAGCTAGGGAGACCCAAAGGTTACTAGACCCCTCTTTTAATCATTCTCGCACGTGGCCTTCGTAGTGAGAGCACGGTGAGAGACAGGGCTAGGTAATTCATCTACCCGTACGCAAGCTGTCGCTGTCAAATGTGCTTGCTCGAGACTGCGTTAAGTCTTTCGAAACCAGACCGGCTCGGATTCTACCCGATGGACATTCTTCGCTAACCATGTAGACGAATGGCCTTGCCCGCACGGCATTGCGTACCTCAAATTGTGTCTACGAATTACGTGTCTTACCAAAATCAGGACTAAGCAATCTGCAAGCCACAAAAGACCTTGATACCGTACTCTACATTACTATTTGCAGTATATTGGATGGATCCGTCGCAGCTTGCAACACGCTTCTTGAAACGGAACACTCAATGACATCCTGGTCATTATCCCGCTTCTCAACCCGGTTTCCTTACTGTCATACGACTCAATGAGGACAGCATACCGTATTATCGGACGAAAAGCTCGCGAAAATCTCTCGAGGAGGGCATACTTGACTGGTCGCATGTCATGCTAAGCCTTCGGGAAGGCCGAATTGATGCGGAATCCTTCAGCATTCCGAACTTCTTCTCTCCACAAGTCAAGACCCACAAGCGGCCAGTGCTGATGACTTGTGCATTCGTGTAACATCAAGGGTCTGTGACAGCAACCCAATCTTCTTTCTCACGTGGACCTTGATGTGGTTCGAGCACGAGCAGGTCCGTAATGCCGTGCGTTACAGCCGGCTTCACTGGGGTGATTGGAAGTGCTGAGGAGACGACTACAAAGACCACACTCGGCTGACCACGACTACCAACGTTTAGAGGGTGGTGTTTGTGCCCCCTCAACTTATAGGTCTATTGATGCATAACCTCATTACGATCTTCCATTGTAACTCATATTCAGATGCAGCTCTGCTCCAACACATACGGTTCCAGGGTCCATCTCTCTGCTTGCTCTACGCGAAAGCAATAGATTCTGGAGCCAGACCCGAAGTCTGGTTCGCCTTTTGCATGCGGGAAAGCGCTTGTTCGTTGGACGATAACCTCTTCTTCAGACTCTCTATGAGCAGCTCCCCCTACAACAAACCGTCCCCACACAGCCTTCGACAAGCCAGCTGCACCAGTTTCTATGATCTTTCCTACGCCCGCACGCCATACAGACATGCGACGCAAGGGTCGTCAGACAGCGCCAACCACAGCCCCCCCCTCCTAGTGATCCAAAAGCACGTTCAAATACTTTGAGCGATGGGCTCTGCACATTTCTGTTACAGACTGTTGTCGTATCTCGCGTCGACCAATCTTGCTTCTCTTCTTGCATGTACCGGTACGTCGGGTACCCAGCGTTCGCTGGCCGGACATCTTTGCACCATGACCTGCGCTCATCCATATCATCTCATCTTGGTTCGCGGCATTTCGACACGATTGCGTGTTCGTGCTGAAATGTCTTGCTTTTGGACATGCACCCGACACGCTTTCTACCTAATCGCTGCCTGTCAATCGGCATATTCTGTAAATGTAAACTGCTCCCTGGATGAGTCTTGCTGCAGCGAAGGTAAGCGTCTACAGCATGCTTCGGTGCTCCCTCCCTTGTCTATTATCTTCTCTGTTGGGTTACGCCATGGATATGATCGGGAGAGGCCGTGGATGGCTGACACGACTTCACGAATTCATGTGTGCCGCCTGTGTCAACGAATTCTATGTCGCAAGCATGTCTTTCCATGAACAACCAGCTGGTTGGGTCATGGAAATTCATCACCGACTGCTCGCGGAAACCATCTAAGTTATGACGAACCATCTGCTGGGCCCGGTCGGTTTCCCCAATCTCTTGGGGACTCACTTCGCCTACATTAATGAACTCGCTAATAGCCGTGCGCTCTTCAATCCGAAACACTTTTTCAACTGCCGGATTTGTCTCCATGTCATTCGATCACTGCGACTTTCTATCTATAACTTTTCTTGACAAGAACGTCCGCGATATCGACGATGTAAGATGTTCTTCGGCTCTACCAAGATACAATATTCCAGTAACTCGCTTCCGGCAAATCGGTACGAGGAACGAGACAAGCGCCAGTTGCAACACACACAACGGAAGATACGTACACGGCACTAGCCACTTTTTGTCAAAAGAGTTACCGACTAAGAATATATTAAATGCGAGCAATGTCAAACACGGCAAGCGATCATCCTTACAAGAAAAAGAATGAAAATCTTGGAGCTTGGGATCTTTATATTGGCTTCCCAACAAAGCCTCATTGGTGCTTACGAAGACGGGAAGGAAATCAGGTGGCCAATAATGACTTTTTTTTTGTTGCTGGAGTTCTTTAACTTGTGACTGGAGTCTGCTAAACATAGGACGGGATTGATATTGACTGATCCAGTCCATGATGCTGAGGAGGCGACCCTGCATCATATCTCGACCGGGTCATGATTGCATGACCATCGCTAATGAGACTCCTTCAAGCTACCAGTGACTCTTGCGTGTATACCTAGGCAATGCATATTGGTACAAGAGTGGCTGGAAGACAAAGCCTCTGAGTCAAAGGTCGCAAGAGTGAAAATGGCTGCCGGTCGGTCCTGGTCTTTAATGTGCACTTTTCTTGATCCTTCTTTGCACACTCAAACCCTCGCATCTTTCTGCACATCCGATGTCCTTTACCTTCCATACAATATGACAAAGGTACTTTGTGTCTCTTTGCGGCCTGATCTACCGACATCATCAGCCATCTATCATTCTTCCATTCTCACGATTCCTCATCATCAATATTCATTCTGCACGACCACCACTTTGCTCTTTGTAGGAACATGTTCCCTACCATCATATGGTCTTGAGCTTTTGTTCTTGCTACGCAGCTCTATCACAGTCATAGGCTAGCTCGTCTGGTCGATGAGTCATACACCAAGGAAACTTTACTGTTCGATCATTTGTTCTTTTTTATCTTTGCCAGTAAGCTTCTGCATAGACTGCTGAACCCCCAAATATTAGCTAGATCTTAACTTCCGTTCTTGCCTGACCGCATCATACCTTCCATTCCCATCTCGATTGCATATTTCCTTCCATCATCATCTTGACTGTATCGTGCTGTCCTTGGTATTTGGTCCTGGATCACTCTTTCCTCATGTTTTTGAAACGCTCTCTTTGTCGACTTTTTCGTTTGGCGCCTGTGTTTGCATAAAAGTGACTATGGGGGCGGGAGAGATGAGGATGAAATGAAAAAACGAAAAAAAGGAAAACCTATGCAGGGTATCGTGCTCTCAACAGCAAGAAAGATCGATTAAGCTTAAGAAAAAAAAAGGAGAAATTGAGTGATGTGTTCATATTCCTCAGTTATACATATGTTTTTGTTGTTGTTATCGGTTGTTTTGATTTTTGTTATTTACTTCCTGCGCACCTAACAAGACTTACTTGGTATATTCCTTCTGCAACAACTTTGCAATGGTGGTGAGCTGGATGTTGCTCGTGCCCTCATAAATGGCACCAATCTTGCTGTCTCGCCAGTACTTTTCCGCCAACCCCTCTCTGACGAAACCCATACCGCCCATCCACTCTATCGCCTGTCCAGACACCTTGCCAGCAACCTGAGAAGCGTACAGTTTGGCCATGGCGGCATCCATGACAAAGTCCTCGCCCGCCTCCTTTTTGCGCGCGGCATTGTAGACCATGGCGCGCGCGGCGCAGATTTCCGTCCACGCTTGCGCGAGCTGGTGCTGCATGCCCTGGAACTCGCCGACGAGGGTGCCAAACTGCTTTCTGTCGTTCCAGACATACGAGGCGGCGTTGGAAAAGGCACCCATGGCCAGACCAGTCATTTGTGCGGCGATACCGATGCGACCTTCATTGAGAATGCCAATGGCGTATTTGTAGCCTTGTCCTTCTTCACCGAGCAAGTTTCCCTTAGANATGTCGCAGTCGTCAAAGTTGACGACGCAGGTGGAGGAGGCCTTGATGCCGAGCTTCTTTTCCTTTTTGGCGATGCTGAAGCCCGGGGTGTCCTTGTCGACGATGAAGGCCGTGATGCCCTTGTAGCCCTTTGAGGGGTCGAGGTTGGCAAAGACGATGAAGAAGCCTGCTTCTAGAGAGTTTGTGATCCACATTTTGGAGCCGTTGATGCGGTAGCCGTCGGCCGTCTTTTCGGCACGGGTCTTGAGGGCGAAGGCGTCGGAGCCAGAGATAGGTTCGGAGAGACAGAAGGAGCCTGTTTTGAACATGAGCTTATGGAGGAGATGGTCCTAGAGGAAACCCAACTTACCAACCGTGTTGGTGGCCAACTGAGGCAACCACTTGCGCTTGCTCTCATTGGTACCATACTTGAGCAGCGTAGTGTTGACCAAAGTATTATGCACATCAACCATAACACTCACACTGGGATCCACTCTCGCCAACTCTTCAATGCCGACAATGGCAGCAGTAAAATTCATGCCAGCGCCACCAAACTCTTCGGGAATTTCAATGCCCATGAGGCCCTGCTCAAAGCACTGCTCGATAATGTCTTGGTCCATCTTCTCATTCTCGTCCATGCTGCGGACTTTGGGCAAGATGACATCGTTGGCGAACTTGGAGACGGACTCGGCCATCATGACTTCGGTCTCGGACATGTGAGAGATGGGGGTTGGGATGGCGCCGGTGAGGTCATGGGGTTCGCCGGTTGTTGTTTGCCTCAGCGGCTGCGCGGACGAGAGACTTCGCCAACTGGTTGATCGTCAGTGTGTGCCATGACTGCTATCTCTGACCATGTACATACCATGGTCTGGAGACAAACCGCTGGCGGAGCGGTGACCGGAGGGTGGAAGGGCGGATGGAGGGACGAATGCTCCTTGCTACTGAAGCCATGATGTGTGCTGTGTGGATGCAAGACGAGTCTGGAAGGAAAGGAGGAGGCGGACAGCAGAAGATCAAAAAGATGTTGCGTCTACATCATGGCCGGCACTCGGAAGGGCATGCAGGGAGCAATGGAAGCCGCCGAATCACATGCGGAGAAGCAGAACCGAGGCAACAGAAAGTCCGGGGTCTCCCGCGCCCTGCCGCCCTCGTCGCCCTATCGTTCTCGGTGCGATCAGAGTCTATTTCTTGTTACTTTTCGTGCAGGCCATATCTACCATCTTGACCGAGTGTCCGTTGCTCAACTTATCGGTCGTGACACGTTTGACAGACTTGTAATCCCTTTTGGCGTAGATATGGAAGTTGGATATTCTTAGACACATCTTCTCAGCTGTGTTGCTACAAGACTTTGAAGACGCACTCCTCCACTACAAACGCTTTCCTATTGAGACCGCAAGTTGCATCTATCTTGTCCGGGGGACGTCTTTTTGGCCCAGTTTCTTGTAGTTCTTGGTCCACGAGGGTGGAGAATCTATCGCCCTTGAGTTGTACCAAGCTGTCAGATCCATACCCTCGAAAGTCTTGGATCTCGGATGCTGAGCTTTATCGAATTGCTCTGGCGTCTGGTTTGCATGTGTCGTCGACCATCCCTGTCGACAAGCGGGTGCAGAGCAGCAGAGATACTGAAGGGATGGTGGCTTTGGTTTGAACTCGACGGCCTGGCTGCCAATCGACAATCTTGCAAACAAGCCAGCAAGAGAAAACACCTCCAGTGCGTCCATCTGCCAACCAAAACATCAACTCCGCACTCTTAGTTCGGTCTGAACTTATTCCTCTTCATCTTCATAGCCTCCACCTTTTTCCTGTCCTCCTCAAAGCCCTTGAGCAACTCATTAGCCTTTTCCTTGCGCTTCTCGCGCATCTGGAAGCGGTAAAAGTCCTCCTTGCCCTTTTGCTTTTCCTTTTGCTTCTCTGCCTTTTCTTGCGCTTCTTCTTGGCGGGCGGGTCCCATGCGGCCGCCGCGTGTGACGGTGACGAAACCGTCTTCGTCGGGTTCGGCGCGTTGGCGGGCGAGTGCGCGTGCGCGAGAGGCTTCTTGGTCGGCAAAGGCTGTCATGTATGCGTCGACAGAGGTCTGGAGGACGGCGGTGGAGGGGAAGCGGAGGGCGTGGTGGCTTAGATATCCTGGTAGTTGCACCATGTTAGCCCCAGAAAGACATTCCTCGATAAAGCAGAAGAGTAAAAACTCACTCGCAGCACCCAAAGCAGGCACCTTGTCACTCGTCCCATCATTGCCCCAAACAATCTCTTTACCAGCCTTGATGACCTTCTTCACCTCCTTCAACCCCATCTCGGCAGCGGCAGCATCCACAAACACAACCACACACGTATTTCCACTCCTCCCCACACTTCTATCCCACGTCTCTGGCAACTCGACCTTGTTCGCCTCTGCTCCATCACCACCTCTCTTCCTCTTCTTCCCACTTTTACTCGTCACCGGCGCTGTGATTTTTCTGCCCGTCCTCGCTCCTTCGAATTCCACTCTTTCTACGCGTGCACCACCACCGTGTGCGGCGAATAGATTGCGTAAATGAGGTTCTGTGGCGTCGATGGGGAGGTTGACGATGAAGAGTTCGCGGGGCGTGGTGTCGGTGGCTATCTTGGGCGCGTTGGGTCGTAGGTAGAGGTAGTGTTTTGTTGCTACGGGGAAAGCGGCGGTAGGCGGAATGGACAGCGGTAGAATGGTGTAGTCGTTTACGCTCGCCGGTATACGGCTGCTGCTGCTGCTGCTGCTATGTGAAGGCGCCATTGGTTTTCCGTGGAGTTTTTGTTGGTTTTGAGATGTGGTGTGGTGTGGTTTTGCGACAAACAGAATCGATAATTTTCTTGAAAGTCTCGGGGTCTGCGCTTTCGCCTTTTTGCGGACAAGTTCCGCGGTCGTCATTCACAACGCCGCAAAGTCACCCTGATCTTACTCTTTTACAGCCTTGTAAGTCTCCTCGAGGGAGACGGTGTTTGACTGAAGACATATAATCATGTCAATACTACTCGTACAGACCTGTTCACAGAAAAGCTCAGTATCACGTCTCATCATGTATGTTGAACCGATCCTTGTATCCTCAAAGCTCACAACATTGCTCCATATCACTGTGAGCATGGGAACTAAATCGACTATCCGGATCGATAAATCCTTCGGGCCAAGAGGAAAGGGAAGCGATTAGTCGATATGCTGTATTATGTCTTCCCACTGCCAAAATGGCCAAACTAGCCAAAATCTCGTCTCTGCCATCATCTCTCCTCTCCCTCTCCGACGCATGCTCTTCTGTTTATTTTTCTTTCTTCTCTCTGAACTTTGTTCTAGCCTATCCTTCTCACGCTTTCCGCTGGGCAATGGCGTTGCAACCGCCGGTCGTTGGTCCAAGAAGAGAATAGAAGTTGATGAACATCGTGGTCGGGATCTCGTGATAAAACTTTTTGCAGGTCATTGGTAGGTCGTAAAAGTGAGCAAATCGGCCCCGCGAAAGATGAAAATGATGATAGGAAAATAAGACAAGGCCGAAAAAATGGCGCGTATGTGTCGAGAAAGCCGCTGGCGAGCACGCTTGAACGAGGAAAAAGGTCGACCAGAAAGTAAAAAAAAGACATGCTGGCAATGGACGATTATGCAAGCAAGAGGACCAGCGGTATCGGTATCATGTCCAAAGGTCCTCATCAGTAACGGTCTAGTTCCTGCAAGATCACTCAAACAGAAACAGAGGCAGGAATGATGGTAGCGGCGGCGTTGGGAGTCTGGACGGGAAGAGGAGCAGCAGCGACAGCATCGGTAGTAGCAACGGGAGCAGACTCGCCATTGACGTCGTTTTGCTGGCTGCATTCACGGGAGATGTGGCCGGTCTCACCACAGCGGTAGCAAGTCTTGCCGGCAGTGTTGAGCGGGCCTCCGTTGGGAGCAGTGCACTCGCGGGAGATGTGGCCGAGCTTACCACAAGCATAGCACTTCATGGCCTGTGCCTGGCAGTCGCGAGCGAAGTGGTTAGGACCACCGCACTTATAGCAAGTGGCAGGGCGAGGACCACCAACGAAACCACCGCGGAAGCCACCGCGAGGACCAGGGGCACCGCGACCAAGACCAGCAGCAGCACCAGGAGTAGGGCAAGTGCGCTGCAGAGCGATATAGTCAGCCAAAATGCACGGGAATCCACGACGGGAGATGCACATACGGCAAGGTGACCAGGCATGCCGCAGGAGTAGCAGCGTCCGTTAGCACCGCCATTCAGACGGAGAGTAGGACAATCAGCCTGGACGTGTCCAAGACCCTGGCAGTGGTAGCATTGCTTGGCTAGGAGTACAGATCAGCATACAGAACCAAGAGGTATGATGCACGACATACCCTCGGTGGTGCGAGGAAGAGGGCAGCTACTCGACTCATGACCTATTTAGAAAATGAGTATGGCGAAGCAGGCTTCAGAGACGAAGATGGGTACCAGGCTGCTTGCAGTTGTAGCACAGACGCTCAGAAGAGGAGCAGACCTCGGCGTAGTGGCCGACATTGCCACACTTGTAACAGGCACGGCGGGACAGGGAGGACATGTTGATTCTTGTGTTGTAGGAGGGATAGGAGCCGTAAGACTTTTAACGTGTGCGGTAGGTGCTGTGCATGTTCAAGTTAGATTCCGTTGACCAAAAGGCGTAGACTTGAAAGTGTGTCGTGGTGTTTTGTTCAGCCAGTTCATCCTCCTCATATAGCGGGTTGCTGAACAAACCGTCGAGGTGTCCGTCGAGGCATATGTCGAGAGAAGCGTCGAGCAAATCATGTCTTTCAGAATGTACAGTGGTGTAGTGATGGTTATGCTCGACCGCAAGTGATGGATTGAGTCATTGCAGCCGACTTCTACAAGGGAAGAGACACGACGACGGGTTTGACAGCGACCGAGGATATTGAGAAACCGGCAGGATGCATGTGGGACACTATCAGCGAGACGACTGACCTGGTGGAGCGCGAGGTTGCTTGACCTGCTACAGCGTCAGCGTCTACAGCTCCCTTGCAAGTGTTTGGTGTTTCAGATCTGTTGTCTTACACTGCTGCTAAACGATTACTCCTCCTTCACTTCTTCTACACTTCCAAGCCTCGGAACGATTGACGATCAATCAAGCAAGATACAAGTAACGCGACAGCAAGGTGGTTCGGGTGAACGAAGGTTGGGCGGTTGCGATTGCGGCGCGACAGAGGCTCGAAGAGAAGGAAACGCCGGCGGGAGACCCACCCGGCACCAGCTCCATGCACCTCCTTCCGTGAACCGGCTTTATTCTCCGGCCTGCATCTTCGTCTTCTCTTCAACAAGCCCACCACTGTCGCCGTGACGAGATGAGAAACATGCAGTGTCTATGAGCAGTCAGCAGGATGCTCTGCCGACCGAAGGCTTCATGCTCTAGCTGCACCGTTGGGAGCTTCAAGGGTAGCTCGCATGTACCGAATCCGAACCGTGCACGCCGTCAATACACGAACCGAACATGTTGGCAACTGCATGCTTGGTGGCTGCGAGGCTTGTTGCATATCCATTATATTCTGCTGTTGACTGTTTGTTGTTCACATATCCCCATGACTTCGCGAGTTGCTTGCCGTAACTTCCACACCTCCCAAACGCCTCAACGCGCATGCATGCATCCTATGTCCGATTTACTGCTTCTCTTGCTCAATCACTGCAGGTGCCTTGATTGTGCGCTCGCTCAAGAACTCGAGACCTTCACCGCCCNNTGTGCGTTTTGTGTTAGCCGTGACTCTAGTTGCAATCATGCAGGTACTTACGTAGCTGATCTTGGGTGAAATCTCGACACCGGCATTGTCATCTTCACTCGTCACAGTAGCACCAACAGCCTCGAGCCATCTGGTGCCTTGACGGAAGATGTCACGCTTGCTGGTGTCGGGATCGTCCTCACCAGTGCCTCTAGCGTTCTTGAGAGGTGAAAACTCGTCCTCTCTTCTGACCTCTTGGCAAGCGAACTTGTCCATGGAAAGGAAGGGGAAGCAATCAAAGACAAACTGCTCGAGCTTGATGCCGTTGGGCTTCTCGGGCTTGATGGTCTCACCCTTGTCAGTGTCGACGTAGGGGATCTTCTTTCTGGCAATGTGATGAGGAAGCTTGTCTGACCACTCGGGAATGCTCTCGAGGAAGCTGAACGAGTAGTAGTGGTTGACAATGTTGGCAGCGCGGAACTTGAGCAGGCTCGAGTCCTTGGAGTCCTTTGCCTCGGATGTCTCCTTGTCAATCTCAGAGTACTCGACAACGTCAGGCTTGCCATTCTTTGACAAGATGAGTCCAACAGACTCCTTGGCGTCACGCTTGCGGACAACCTTGGTGGCAATATCAACGTTCTTGGAGGCCGAGAAGCCAATGAAAGTAGGGTCGGCAACTCTGACAAGGCAGTTGTCGACGCAGTATGCGTGAATGTGCTTGATGCCTCTCTTGGACATGTCTTGAACGACGCCTGACTTGATCAGGGCGTTGTAGAGACCACCGTTACCGTCCGGTGCAACAGCGACCTTAGACTTTGACTCCAACAAGATTTTGCCGTCGTTGGAGATGCAGGGAAGAGTGCCCTGCTCGAAGAAGATGACGTTGTTTCTGTTGAGGCCAAAGTATGCGTGCTTCTCGAAGAACTCCTCGGTGGGCTTGCGGGTAGGACCGCTAGTCATGATATACCATGGCACAACAACCTCTTCCTTACTGTGCTCGTGTTGAGCCAGGTGCTGGATCTTCCAGATTCGCTCTGCTTGGAGCTGGAAAAGGGACTTCTGGCTAGGAAGACCAATGTCATAGCAACCCTTGGGGGCAGAGCTGCCCAGACGAGTGCCCTGTCCACCGGCCATGAGAACAACAGCAACCTGGTTCTCGGCGATGTACTGCAGACCCTGTGTGTACCATCTGTTGAGGTCGTCGGGCTTGGAGTCGTAGATGGAGGAAGTGGCGGACTCGGGGAGCTGCTCGAGCTTGGGTGCAGCGTCGTCGGACTCGGGCTCGGGAGGGTTCAGGGCGCGCTGGGTGATTTCATTGACGTGTTCAGGGTTGACGTCGACGAGCTGTTCGTAAAGCATGCCCTTCTCGGCGGCGTTGATGTCATTCCAGAAAGCAAAGACCTGCTCCTGGCCGGCCTTGGTGAACTTTTCCAGGAGCTTCACGTAGTCTTCGTGAGCGGGTTCCTCAGGGGCGGGGATGTTGCCCGTCAGATGGAGCTTCTCCAAGACGTTGTTGATCATGGCGGCGGCCATGTTGTGTGAGAGGGGTAGAGCGGTGTAGTGGGGTAGCTGGGCTACGCCTGGGTCGTATGAGGATACAGGGGTGCCTGTTGGCCGGATGTGTTGGAGGTGAGTAGGATGAAGCAAAGATGCAAAGCTGCAAGGAGAGATGAAAGACACGAAACGCTTCTTGACACTTTCTTTGGTAACGGACCCTGCCCGACGCCTGATTCAATCAACAATCACCATCAATGGAGAAGCACCCAAGCTTCGACCCCCACTCTGCGTCACTCTATTTTTGGCTTCCATGTCGTCCTCTCCTGCAATTTTGCAACATCGCTGTCATGACTACCTCGTGTTACAGATATTCTATATCTGATCAAGGGAACGATACCTAGAAACCTCTTGATTCATTTATAACCGACATGGGCATACTGCGGTTTACAAAAGTTGAGAGCTCAAGGTCATCCCCAGCCACACTCAATGCTCGGTTCGTTTCAGGCCTAAGCGCCAAACACTCGAACGTCTGAAACGGCGAGGCAGTAAACAAGACCAGCTTCAATTCACTGTAGTACAAGACTCTCGCCGTTTCCAACCTCTGCCCAGTTGACTCCCTCGAACGATCCAATCACCTCGTCGCTAGCCGCATCTTCGCTTGAAGAGCTCTTCCTACGTTTCCTCTCGGCCTCTACAGCATCTTTGACGCTGATTTTTCGTCTTTTGAGCAGCCACCCCACGATGCCTGTGCCCTTCTTGTCCTCGTCGTGAGTGGCAATCCAATAGCTGGCCTTGAGTTTCCGCTGTGCTTTGAGTCCATTATGTGCTCCCAAGTTGAGCTGTTGTGCTGCTCCGAGCGTGATATCTTCGAGGCCATGCAGGAAAGCCAATGTCTTTATGGGCGGATCGGCCTTGGTCACCAGATCAAGACTCTCGCTATCACTGTGTATCCCATGAGGTGTGTAAACCACTGCTTCTGCCGTTTCATCCTCCTCTTCTGGCTCCGTGTATTGATGCGAGCTGCTTCGTCTCGAAGCATGCCCACTCTGTTGGTTGTTGAAGGTGATCATGAGTGCCGAGTGAAAGTACAGCATGTCACTGCTGCTTACGAGGCGTGAGATACCAAGCCACTCTGGCAGAGGGGTAACGGATGTTGCACGCCAGTCGGGGTCCTGAGAGAAGTGCGGTATCGTCTGAACAATACGGAAGTGCTTCCAAGACTCGATCAGTGGGATTGCTTTCTGTNNTACATCCATGAGCGTGAGCCTTCGTACTTGATAACCCGAGCCACTTACCTCCGTTGCGAAGACGGGTACGTCTGGATGCACATTTCGCATCGTCTGTTCGTGACAGTGATCGGTGAACTGATGACTGATGGCAACAGCATCTATAAAAGTCTCAACCTCGTCGTGGTCCTCGGAATCTTGTGCATTGCTCTTTCTGCCTTTTCCGAGACGTAGTCCACTAGCCAGGCTCTCAGTCTCACGGATGAGGTCTTCTACCGCTGCGATACTAGGCACTCGAGGGGCCTCGGCATGCCACTGCTTACTCAACCAACTCGTATAGTCAGTTTGTGTTCCGGAGAGCCAGGGGTCAATGAGAATGTTGAAGTAGACTCGACCTCCACGTTTGGTTGCGGCGACTGGACGAGGAATCATGAGTAGCCATGCTGTGTCGGCACTGAGGTGGTGAAGGACTGGTCGACGCATGGCAAGAGCATCACTCACTGCATCTTGTAAGTTTTGATGCAGTTGTGTCGCCGGATCGTCCATGTCGCCGTCTTCAACATGTTGACCGCCTGCTTTTGTTTTCTTTTGGCTGTTCGATGACATGGACATGTTTGTTTCGGCCGCTCCCGAACCGTGGGGAAAGCTTTGTGGTTTTCACGTTGCTAACACGACCCTAGACAACTCTGTCCACGCTACTGGGTACAGGGACATGGCCAGAGTGTCTTATGATGGAACAAGTACCAGTATCTGTCCATTCCCTGCGTTGTGTCCGAGAGGAAAAACTGGCGAGAGCATCAGAGGCGGTGCAACCATCAAGACTCGAGGCAATGCTGGTGTTGCCAACGCATCCTCCATCATCCTTCCTTGGCTCATGGTGGACACTGCCCTCTTCGTGACCTCTGGAACCTCAACAGCCTCACTCTGCGCCTACTTCTAAGCCACTGTCGCAAAACATCACTACGTATCGATTCCTCGCCTCAAGCTGTCTAGCAAATATCCTGTGAATCTCGCCGATAGCTACAAGCTCAACATGACCAACGAAAAGTACAATCCTCCTCCGGGCCCTCCACCTGGTTGGAGCAAGAGGCAAGAGGCATCATCGGAAACATATGCACCGCCCCCAGGTCCACCACCAGGCTACCAAAGACACAATGAGAAGACCAGCATGAACGAGCAATTTGCACCTCCTCCGGGGCCTCCTCCATCCCATTACCATGACGAAGCATTGGATCAGGCCGCTCCACCGGACTATGCTCCGTGGCTGTCAGTACCAGACACGAGCTTACTCCCACCTGCTCCCGCGGTAACTCATGACACTTCACCGACTGCAAATGCAACTCAGGATTCTGCTGAACGGGCAAAGAACTGGTGCAGCCGCAGCCATCTATACCCACCGGGTCAGATCCCTGCTTCGGTTCATGAAGATTTCCGGCTTCATGGTTTCGTCTTCAGCCAACCTCCACCACAATTTTCAGGCGAGGTGACAAGAGCGATGCGCCAGCAAAACACCTGGGCAGTCCGCACACGTAAGAACTGCGAAGACTGTATCCTTACCACGTCGGCTCCACTCTACTCTGCAGCTCTCAACGACCCATTGAGGAACAATGGAAGACCTTTCACCATTTACTTTGAGATACGCGTTTCGCGCATGGCTTCTGATTCTGGAGAAGAAGGTGATGCTGGAATTGCGATCGGATTCGTAGCACCTCCATATCCTCCCTTCCGACTTCCTGGATGGGAGAGAGCTAGTCTCGGTGTGCATGGTGATGACGGCCGTCGCTACATTGACGATGACGGAGGCGGTCAAGACTTTACTACTTACTTTAAGAATGGAGAGACAGTCGGCATCGGTATGAACTTCAGACCTGCGCAGTTCCCTGGCCGCAGAAGAGATGTTGAAGTCTTCTTCACCAGAGAGGGTCAGAAGGAGGGAGGATGGAACATGTACGAGGAGCGAGATGGAGATGACTGTGGCAGCATTGTGGGACTAGAGGGTGAGCACGACTTGATGGCGGCGGTAGGCATGTTTGGACAGGTTGACTTTGAAGTGAGGTTCCGTCGCGAAGAATGGCTCTACCGTCCGTAAATGGCAATTGAGTAGCTGGTATTCTGATACAAGTGCAATGACGCGGGTTCGGAGATTAGGCGGGATTATGTAAAGGTTAAATGCGGGATGCGGCCGTCGTGTTGGCATGGCTGGAGGCTCCAGCTGGCATTTGGCAACGACATGGACAACTTGTCGCATATCGCACAATGAGGACAGCATCGTGGCGAGCCGTGTCGCTGCTCATACTATGTCTCGTACTGGCCTTTGTCAACTGCCAGGAGGCCGTCCCGAGTCAACAAGATGGCTCCCATCATGACACGACGCCATATATTCCCACCACACAAGACCCCGCCGAGACACACANNCCAAAAATACCGCCGTACGAACAGAGCCCAGCTGTCAAGGATGCTCTCACATCTCTGCGCAAGATCCGGCCTGCGAAAAGTCGCCTCGCGCGCCTCAGCAAGCCTTCTGGTCTCGTGGCCAAGACCATCTACTACGCCAAAGAGCTGTTTGTCCTTCTCTTCATGAACCAGCCCGACCAAAAGGACCTTCTGATCACCGATACTACTCCTCCGCCTCTCGCTCCCGCCCTGCACAGCGCCGTCACTCTACTGCAAGATGCAGCCGCCGATCAAGATCCCGACGCCTTGTGGCTGTTGGCCGAGATGAACTTCCATGGCAACTTCACCCATCCTAGAAACTACTCGCACGCCTTCGAATATTACCAGACTCTGGCATACCTGAATGGCAACAGCTCCGCTCAGTACATGCTAGGCTTCATGTACGCCACTGGCATTGGAAATGCCGTTCCACAAGATCAGGCCAGAGCCCTCCTATACCACACTTTTGCCGCCGAGCAAGGTGACATTCGCTCTCAGATGACACTCGCTTATCGTCATCACTCTGGAGTTGCTACACCGAGAAACTGTGAAGAGGCGGTTCATTGGTACAGGCTAGTCGCAAAGCAGGCTGTCGAGTTCTACAAATCTGGCCCTCCTGGTGGCCACTCGTTGGTCAAGAACGCTTTCCGCTTGGTCGACGAAGAGGGAGGCATTTATGGCGAAGGCGCCAGTGTCAGCAGTTCTGGTGTCAACGCAAAGACTGGAGGCCCAACATCAGACGCCTATGCCGATCTGGACGACGTTCTCGAATTCCTCGACTTTCAGTCAAGGAAAGGTGATCCCAAGGCTACTTTCCATCTCGGAAGGCTGTATTACGATGGCTCACGAGGTTTGGCTCGCAACTTCCCAGAGGCAAAAGACCACTTCATGCAGGTTGCTAGACTATATTGGACTCCTTCTGGCAAGGTCAAGTCTGACGTTTCGTCTCTTGTTGAGAAGCTCGCGCCAAAGGCCGCTGGTTACTTGGGTAGAATGTTCCTACGTGGCGAGGGCACCGAAAAGAGCTACAGCAAGGCCAAGATCTGGTTCTCTCGCGGCATTGAACATGGTGACGCCCTATCCCAGTACTCTATGGGAGTCATGTATATGGAAGGATTGGGTGTCCCCAAGAATCCTGTCAGAGCTGCCGAGTACTTTTCCCCTGCTGCAGACCAAGACCTCGCAGTAGCTCAAACAAACCTAGGCATTCTGTTTATGGATCAAGGCGACATCCAGACCGGCAGGAGCTACTTTGAGCTGGCCGCTCGCAACAGTCACATCGAGGCTTTTTACTACTTGGCTGAGCTGAGTAACCAAGGCGTTGGTCGTGACCGCTCGTGCGGCATGGCTTCCGTCTATTACAAGATAGCTGCCGAGAAAGCCGAGGTCATTCATTCGTCTTTCATCGAGGCGAACGAGGCCTATGAGCGTGGTGACCTGGAGACTGCCATCATCGCATACATGATGGCTGCTGAACAGGGCTATGAGAACGCACAAGCAAATGTCGGATACCTACTCGACCACACTCGCCCACGCTATTCACTCCCCTCGATTTTCCCCTTTCTTCGTCGCCGTGTGGATGCAGCCAGTGATGCAGCTCTTGCTCTCATCTACTGGACCCGTTCAGCTAAACAATCCAACACCGACTCGCTCGTCAAGATGGGCGACTACTACCTTGATGGTGTTGGTGCTGCGTCATCTCCCGAGAACGCAGCTGTCTGCTATCAAGCCGCTGCCGAGGGAATGTTAAGTGAGGGCATGGCTAGTGCGCAAGCCATGTGGAATCTTGGCTGGATGCACGAGAATGGTATCGGCATCGAGCAAGATTTCCATCTAGCCAAACGTTTCTACGATCAGGCGCTTGGAACAAACGCAGAAGCATACCTGCCTGCCAAGTTGAGTCTTGCAAAATTGAGACTGCGCAGTTGGTGGAACGGTGTTAGTGGTGGCAGTGTCAACTCTATCAGAGATGAGCCTTGTAAGTGACCTTGGGGTATGTCTAGCGACTATTACTGACGAGACTGCAACAGCCNNCAAAAACCGAGCCGGACACTAAGCCAGTGGCTCAACGACTTCCTCGAGGCCGATGCCGCCTACTACGCCGACCATTTCGAGGCAGATGACTGGGACGATGCACATCACCACATGCCCGGCGGCGACGACTTCTACGATGACGCTACAGAGATCGACGACGGTCTCGTCGAAATGTTTATGATTGTTGGTCTGGCTGCCATGCTTGCCTTTTTGGTATACTATCGGCAGCAGAGACAGCAGGAAGCTAGACGCAGAGCAGAGCAACAGGGTCAGCAGCAAGGAGGGAATGTTAATGCTGCACCACAGCAACAGCAAGACCAAGGCTTCTTCCCGCCACCAGGAGAGCCCGAGTTTGCCAATTGGGTTGCTGGGGAGTGGGCCACTGAACATTATCCGCTCTGGCCTTGTTTTACACATTTGGAGGTTATTGCACAAGGCAGATCGTTAGCGAGTCAAAAATTACATTTTATTATTCATCACTCTGGTTCGTATCGCTTCACTGTATGCTCACCTGTCCAGGAGAGGGTGCACCCTATAGGTCTTGTCGTTGAGGTTCAGTTCACAGACGAGATAGGCCAAATCCTGACAGGGATCAACACCCTCGGCCACGCTGGTAGCGGGGTAGATAACGAGACCAACTGTGTATATCCATATCGTGTACGCCGTTCTTTTCCTGAAACAAGCAGTTTTCTCGACAACAATAACCATTCCATCATGTCAGACTACGAAACCTATAATCTCGGAGACTTTGAACTTCAGAATGGGGATACCATCCCATCGGCCAAGATTGCATACAAGACGTTTGGAAACAAGACGTCACCAGCAATCATCTATCCTACTTGGTACAGCGGATGTAAATTAGCCCCTTTTTGCAAAAAAAGACGGATTCCATAAGTATAACTGATAAAAGTCATCGTGAAANCAGTGATCTCGGACAACGAATGGCTCATCGGCACCGACAAGACACTCAATCCTGACCACTACTTTATCATCATCCCTGCTCTGTTCGGAAACTCGCAGTCTTCATCTCCCTCCAACACCTCTTCTTTGCATCCGTTCCCTCAAGTCAGCTTCTACGATAACGTCAAAGCTCAGCATGAATTGGTCACCAAACACTTGAGCATCTCTCACGCATTCGCGGTCTTGGGGTGGTCCATGGGCGCGGGACAGACTTATCAGTGGGCTACCCAGTATCCAGAGTTCATGGACAAGATGGCACCGTTCTGCGGTAGTGCAAAGACGAGTTTGCACAATCAGGTGTTTTTGGAGGGTGTCAAGACTGCTTTGGTGGCTGCTAAAGGTGCTGCTTCGGCTGGTATCTGTAATGGATATACGAAAGCAAAAGGAAGCGCAGAATGGACAGATGAAGAGAGGGAAGTCGGATTAAAGGCATTGGGGAGGGTATATGCTGGCTGGGGCTTCAGTCAAGCCTTTTACCGCGAGAAGCTCTATGAATCAGTGCTCGGATTCAAAGACTTGGATACGTGAGTTTTTTATCCCAAAAAACACTCCCTCCCCTGTGAGTCGATGATTTGCTGATGGATGCATTGGAAAAAATAGCNNTTCATGACCGACTTTTGGGAAACCTGGGCCCTCTCCAAACATCCAGAAAACATGCTCACCATGCTCCACACCTGGCAATCCGGTGACTGCTCTGCTCAACACCCTTACAACAACTCTTTCCCGGCAGCCATGAAAGCCATCAAAGCAAAAGCTTTGGTGTTGCCGAGTAAAACCGATCTCTACTTTCCGCCCGAGGACTCGGAGTACGAGGTGCAATGCATGAGTGAGGGCATCGGGAGACTAGAAGTGTTTCCTAGTATCTGGGGGCATTGGGCTGGTGGACCGGGTCAGAGTACCGAGGATGTCAAGTGGTTGGATGAGAAGTTGAGGGAGTTTTTCGCAGGGTAGGAATAGAGGCGGGGGTGAGCCAAGGTGGTGGTATCAGTTTTCTTATTGCCTTTTGTTTTCTTATCCTTTGTATGTCGAGGTAACTGTTGTCTGCCAAACCCTACAAGCAAATGCTTTGAAAAAACATCTCTCATGGAGAAAACGAAATGAGTGCTATGCTTTGCCTTGCCAACCCTTTCATACCAATAGAAACATCAGTCACACACTCTCTCTCATCAACTCACTTCCTTCTTTCAAGACACATTTTTCCTGTCTTTCTACTTCAACGCCTTCTTCTTCTCTTGCTCACCCTTCAACTCCCAAATATACCCATTAACAAACCACTTTTCCAATTCCTCCCTCTCCATCTCCTTTGCCCCTCTGACCATACCCACACACCCTTTCTCTCCACACAAACACTCAAACCCNCTATCCATCTCCCACTCTGTACTCGGATAAAANAAGCTCAACAAATCTCCCTTCTTCAACTCTCTGCCCCCACTGACCCTGACTTGCATAGTTTTCGTGTCAATCTCGAGTGTGGGCGCACAAGAGTGATTCAGATATGTAAATGCAGAGTCCAGGGATATGTGTGCGCAAGAGGAAATCTGGAGCGTGTGCCATTGTGGGGTGGAGCAAGTGGTGTATGCGGTTATTGGGGCGAAGAGGGCGCCTGCGGGTAAAGAGACCAGAGAGACGAGGCCGTGTCCAGATGCATGAGAGGAATATTCCAGCAACTCTTGGAGGTCGTTTGCCGTTACTGGGAATGCTGGCTCCTCGTGCGAGGATTTTGTGCTTGTTGTTGTTGAGGGAGCCATTGTTTTGGTGGTGAGAATGTTTTGCGTTTGCTTCTATTGTTTGATAAATGAGGGTTTGCTGATAAGTGATTGTTGCTGGTGAAGGGAGAAAACGATTTGATTAGGTTGTTTTTCTGAGTGAGTACGGACTGTGGAATGAGGTCTTATATAACCGAGTTGCCGATTGCAAAAGTGTGATATATGTCCTGTCATCCGAGGCTGTTTGGTTCCAGATGCATACCTGTCCTCTTGTGCAGCAGGGCAGCGTGCCACTTACCGACGATGCCGTCGATGTCATTGTTTTGGCGTCACGACGCGCTGTGGGGTCTGGGGTTGATCTGTGGATAGGCAAAGAAAGGACAGGGTCACTTTCTGATGTTGGGAAGAGTACGAAACATTGGTGAATGGATCAAACAGATGAGGTACAAGTTCTATATCGTGAATGCTATGCCCAAAAAAACGCCGTTCATCTTAATGAAAATGACCATAGACAGGTAGACGGCTCCCAAACTCCGGAGTCATGATGAAACACATAAGAGCAGAAAACATTTACAGCTGAATGTCGTTGTTGAGCAAGCGCACCTCCTCGCCAGGCTTGAAAGCAGGCAATCCGATGTACGGGCATCCGTCACATCTAAAAGCATCTCCCAAAGCGCAGTTGCCGCAACTGCCGACCTTGCCCTGCACTGTAAAGTCGACCTCGGCCAGATCATCCGTATCCAGCTTCATAGTCTTGAGTGCGCTGTCGGCGGCCTCGCGCTTGGCCTTGTCCTCGGCGTCAATCTTTTGCTTGAGTCCACAGGTACAGTCCTTGCATGCGCGTCTCCTCTTGCCATTGGGCTTGCAGGCTTCAGGGATGTTGATAGGACGCTTGCGATCTTCTTCGCTGAGGAGAGTGCTGGGGTCGATTGTGGAGCCATTGAGCAATTCCTCCTTTGATGGCAACTCCATCTCGTCGTCTTCATCGTAAAACTCCACATCCAGATCATCACCCATGTCAAAGCCAACCCCTGCTGGCGCTGAGGGTGCGGCAGGCTGAGGTCTTTCGATAATGGTCTTGTTGATAGCCTCGACATTGTTCAAGGGGACAGCTGCAGCATTGGCCTTCTTCTTTTTNCCAAAACTCAAACTGACGGTTTGCGCGGCCATGGCTGCAGGCTTGGTCATGCCGCCACTGGCATGTTGGACAAGACCAGCGAGAATAGCCTCTGTCTGCTCAGATGATGCAGATGTACCAAATGAACCATCCTGACTCTTCAATGTTCCACCAGCCTTGAGCGAAGGCACAAGTTTCTCGATGACCGCGCGGTTGAGTGGCTCACGTGAGCCGTCGACGTTGGTGAGCAAGAGGACAATATCGTATGTAAAGGCAGGGAGCGAGACGAGACCGAGGGCGAGACGGTCGAGCATCTGGATATCGGTGGCATTGCGATCGTGGGCTTCTACGATACTGTTGAGGGCGTCGGGATGTGAGGCGATTGAAGGTGGGGCAAGAAGGAGCGTTCTGGCTTGCGACTTTGTCGGCGGCGGGGCGAACGAGAAGTCAGATGTGTTGTCGATTGTGATAGCGGGTGCCATTGTGATAGGTGTGATGTGGTTGTGGCAGAAAAAGACTTGTTTCTGTCTTTGGCAAGATTGCTTCGAGGACTAGAGAAACGCTTCCAAGTGGATCGTCGGTGGGGTCGAAGGAATCTGCTAGTCGGAAGGATGGAGATTATTGTCGAGTTGAGGGTCGTGGTTTCCCAATGGTGAGCTTCCGGGTGTTGTTGTGTGTAAGATTGAAGCGACAAAGATATGGCAAGAGCGAGTGCGACGAGAAGAATTGCGCAAAAGGTGATTATCAATGTACAGCCCCCGCCTATGACCAATCCGAGTCTTTGACCAATCGCAGTCTTTCCTCGCCCGCCGAAACCGCTCCGCGCCATTCACATGCTGACGGATCAGGTGCCAAGCATCGGGTTTGCTATGCACAAATCTGGTCTTCTTGTCCTCGGAACAGCTGCTCCGCTTTTCTGTCGTTGTTCTGTACTTCTATGAGAGAGTCAAGTCTAAAGTCGGCGTGGACAATGAAACACAGCTCAGGAGAAAGATTATGTGGAAACGAAAATAGTCGTGTACAATATACATAAAACCTCATAAAAACTCCACCCTTTCCGTACTGGATATACCGATCCCATATTTCATATCTGCTTCATCTGCCTAGTCATGACACTTATTTGACAATCTTGCAAATGAGATCCTGCCCATCGACAGAGTCTGACTCCTTGACGCTAAGCTCGCCGACCTTACCAGAGTGAGGTGCACTGATGACCATCTCCATCTTCATGGCACTCAGAATGGCAATCGGGTCACCTTTGTTGACCTCGCTGCCCTCCTTGACTCTGAGCTCGACAACGACACCACTCATGGGTGCACCAACCTGGCTGCTGTCACCGAGGTCGGCCTTCTTGCGCGACTTGTTCTCAACGGCAGCGTGGTTGTCGTCAACAGTGACTTGACGCACTTCACCGTTCATCTCGTAAAACACCTCTCTCTGACCAGTCTGCTCGGAAAGGGGACCAATAGCCAGAAGCTTGATGATGAGCACCTTACCCTTCTCAAGCTCGACGTGGAATTCCTCACCAATCTCGGGCTTGGCTAGGAAATACTTGGTAGGCAGCACGGAAAGATCGCCGAACTTCAGTGTCCACTTCTTGAAGTCCTCAAACACCTTGGGGTACATGACGTATGAGGCAACATCAGTCTCGGTGTAACCACCAAACATCTCCTTGAGCTTGTTGCGGACCTCGTCGAAGTTGACGGGCTCGAGGTAGAGACCAGGTCTCTTGTCCATCTTTCTGCGCTCACGCAGAGCCTTGGTACGAAGAGGCTCAGGGAACCCACCGTAGGGCTGGCCCATGAGACCCTCAAAGAACTCAAGGACGGACGAGGGGAAGTCGAGCTGCTCGGCCTTCTCAAGAACGTCGTTGTAGCTCAGCTTGTTGCTGACCATGAACTGGGCAAGATCTCCAACAACCTTGGAGGTAGGAGTGACCTTGACGATATCGCCGAGCAGGTCGTTGGCTTGCTCGTAAGCCTTCTTGGTCTGTGCCCATTGCTCACCAAGACCTTGCTGAGAGGCCTGGAAGATGAGGTTGGTAAGTTGACCACCAGGAATCTCGTGCTCGTAGACCTCGGGATCAGGGCCAGTAAGGCCAGCCTCGAAAGGTGAGTAGAGGAGACGCAGCTGAGCCCAGTAGTGGTCGATCATTCTCAAGTGGTGAGGGTTAAGACCGGGGTCATGATCACTGCCCTCGAGAGATGCAACGAGAGCACCAATGCTGGGTTGAGAGGTCATACCGGACATGCTGTCAGTGGCAGCGTCAACAGCGTCAGCACCAGCCTGAGCGCAAGCAACCATAGAGGCGACACCGGTACCAGCCGAATCGTGAGTGTGCACGTGGATGGGCAGGTCGGGGTACTTCTTTCTGATCGAGCCGATCAGCATGGTGGCGGCCTTGGGCTTCAAGACACCAGCCATATCCTTGATACCAAGAATGTGAGCCCCCATGTTGACAATCTTCTCAACAACACCCATGTAGTACTCGAGGTTGTACTTCTTGCTGGGGTTAAGCATGTCACCAGAGTAACAGACAGTTCCCTCAGCAACACCACCAGCCTTGAGGACGGCCTTGACACCAACCTCGAGTTGCTCAACATCGTTCAGAGCATCGAAGACGCGGAAAATATCGACACCGTTCTTCTTTGCTTGCTCACAGAAGTGGGTGATGGCGTTGTCGGGAAGCGATGAGTAAGCGACACCGTTGGCACCACGGAGGAGCATTTGGAAAGGAATGTTGGGCACGAGCTTTCTCATCTTGCGCAGTCTGTCCCAGGGATCCTCGTAGAGGAAGCGCATGGCGACATCGAAAGTGGCACCACCCCAGCACTCAAGAGCCCATGCGTTGCTGAGAGCGTAGCTGGTCTCCTTGGCAATGTTGAGGAAGTCGACAGTACGGACTCTGGTGGCAAGCAGAGACTGGTGAGCATCTCTCCATGTGGTGTCCATGATCAAACAGCCCTTGTTGGCTCTGACGGCCTTTGCGAAGGCTGCTGGGCCCTGTTCCACGATGATGCTTCTCCAGCCCTGCTTGCAAGGCTCTGAGACGTCGAGAACATTCTTCTGAGCATCGTGAAGAGTAGGAATTATGATGTCGCCCTTGAACTTGGGCTCTCCAATCTGACCCTTGATCTGACTGCCATTGACAGCGAGATCACCAAGGTAACCGAGCAACTTCTGAGCACGGTTCTGGCTGTTCACCAGAGCAAACAGCTCAGGGGTATCATCGATGAATGTGGTCCAGCACTCGCCGGCAATGAAGGTAGGGTGGGTGAGGAGAGATGCCAAGAAGGGAATGTTGGTCTTGACACCACGGATTCTGAATTCGACCAAGGCACGGAGCATCTTTCTGCGAGTGATCTCGTAGGTTGAGCCACGGCATGAGCACTTGACAAGCATGCTGTCGTAGTGGGGAGTGATGACGGCGCCCGCAAATCCGTTACCNTGTCGAATCATTAGCTGTGCCACACAAGTCATCGAGTTTTTATTCTTACCTCCATCCAATCTAACACCGTTTCCACCAGCCGAGCGGTAGACTTCAATTCTGCCAGTATCGGGTGAGAAACCNCTGCTAGGATCCTCGGTAGTGATACGGCACTGGAAGGCGAAACCACGGACTGAGATGCGGTCCTGGGTCAGGCCGAGCTGCTCGAGCGATGCACCTGCAGCGATCTGGATCTGAGCAGCAACGATATCGATACCGGTGATTTCCTCGGTGATGGTGTGCTCGACCTGGATTCTGGGGTTGATCTCGATAAAGTAGTGGCGGTTCTCCTGGTCAACCAAGAACTCTGCGGTACCAGCGTTGCGGTAGTTGACCGACTTGGCCAGAGCGACAGCATCGTTCAGGATGGCCTGGCGGGTCTCTTCGGGCAAGTCCTTTGCGGGGGCAAGTTCAACGACCTTCTGGTGACGTCTCTGGACACTGCAGTCACGCTCAAACAGGTGAACGACGTTGCCGTGGCTGTCACCCAGAAGCTGGACCTCAATGTGCTTGGGGCGGTACAGGAAGCGCTCGACGAAGACAGTGCCGTTACCGAAGGCAGATTTTGCTTCGGACGTGGCACGCTCAAAGGCCTCCTTGAGTTCCTCCTGCTTCCAGACGACTCTCATGCCACGACCGCCACCACCAAAGGCAGCCTTGATGATGATGGGAAAGCCGTGCTTGTCGGTGAAACCCTTGACCTCCTCAAACTTCTCGACCGGGCCGTCGGTACCGGGGACGACAGGAACCTTGCACTTGATGGCAAGCTCACGGGCAGAAACCTTGTCACCGAGGGCGTCAATGGTGTCAGGGGTGGGACCAACGAACNNTAGAGAGAGGCTGTTAGTGTGGCTCTTTCGAGGCATTGGTGAGCTTACGATCATGCCGGCAGCTTCGACCTTGCGAGCAAATTCGGCGTTCTCACTCAAGAAACCATAACCAGGGTGAATGAGGTTAACATTGTGTGCCTTGGCGATCCTGACAATCTCGTCGCTTGCGAGGTAAGCAGCGACGGGTGTGTACTCTCCTCTCTTGCCAATGACATAGGCTTCATCGGCCTTCTGTCTGTGCATGGACAGGCGGTCCTCGTGACTGTACACGGCTACTGTCTGTAGCGACAGCTCGTGTGCGGTACGGAAGATACGGATGGGGATTTCTCCACGGTTGGCGACTGTCTTGAGGTCAGCAGTTGTGGAGAGTTACGGGTCAAGGGATGACATACCCAAGATCTTCTTGGCCTTCATGACTGAAGAGTTGGCGCGCAGACGGGCATGCACCGTGTTCTGCGAGTGTGTGTCGACGCCCTCCTCGATGGCCGAGTCTTGGTTGGGGTTCTCGGCCTTCATTCTCTTGAGAGCTTCGATGTCCGACATGTTGGCGGTTCAATGGCTCGGAGAGCTGCAGGTGACGGCAGCTGCTTTCCAGAGCTCGTTGGTGAGGAATTGGAAGGATTGGAAGGAGAGTTTGCGGTATGCAAGGAGAAGTACAGGAAGAGTCACAGCTGTTGGACCTCAGCAAAAAAGCGATGACGGTGAGCTTATTCCAAGTTGCTATCTCGGCCTCTGCTTGAGAGAGCTTGGTTCTGCTTTCGGCTGATTGACCCCGCCAATCGGAGAAGCTGGCGAGCGATCGCGAGATAAGGCCGCTGCCTGCTTACTAGAAGGGATTATGAACGAACAACTGCCTGCGAGCCGCGATCAAGTCGATGTCTTCCGTCGACGAGACTTCTATACCATTCATGTAGCTATATAGCATCCATGAAATCATCCTCGGGCTATCATTAACCCCGCCTGACGAACTCCTGGAGTAAATTGTCAGTGCACACCATTAACCCGAGTGCTTCTCGTCATTCGTCGGGTAGAAACGGAGCGCTTGCATCTGCTGTAAGGGTCCCGCGCTCCTTCAGTCACCAAATACCGAACACAGCTCCTCTATCCGCTGCCACTTACCACTGCCTTGGGCCTCTCCGCTTGCTTCTCCACTTGTGCCTTTGTACCTGTTGCTTGTTCGAGCTCGTCGTTGTGCATGTCCCTGTCCCGTCCCCACCGCCGACAACTTCGCAGATGTTTGCTTGAACTTCCAGAAGCAACGCCGGCCAGCCTCGGGCTCTCTGACTGGCTGTAATTATCAACTGCAATCGATTCGAAACAGCTACCTCCTGCGTCGTGCTTCAACATCATCGAAATTACAGTCATAATTCTTCCGTAAATTCATCCTTCGCTGCAACTACAAAGCCCTTAGCCTCGGTCGACTACAGTATCCCTCGGTCGTAAGGAAATACCTCTGATCGTGTCTTGTGTGTTTCTATCACCAATCGAATCTAACGTGCAGGGTCACATGTCTAGGAATGGTATGCACAAGCTTGCTGGCAATTTCCATGACTAACTACACACCTCGCATTTCCTCTTCCTAGATCTTCATACGTCTCAAGACCTTCAAACATCACGGCTTTTCGTACCGCGACATCAATCGTGCTAGCAAGTTGCGTGTCCTAGCCCAATCAAGGGACCTCCTCCTCATGCCGGACGGTTGATCCTGTTACAGTACCATGCAAACCCAGGAAGAAAGTGTCGAAATCAAACACTTATATCATACAGAATAGTTCGCTTGGATGTCTGGCTTGCTTGCCTGGACACCTGGTTGTATCATCTCTGGATATTCCTCGTTATGCCCAGCCAGGTCATGTGAGGGTTGATGCCGGTCCGTATAATGCGTCGCGAGACATCTGCGTCTTTATTCACAGAGCAATCCATCGCACTCGCGGCCTTGAGCAGTGAGAAGAAGAGTACGGCGTTCGAAGTCACGACACCAAGCGCATTGGTTGTGACCGAGGACCCATTCGAAGAGATATTAGCCTAGTCGTGTTCGCAAGCAGCTGTACTGTTCGAAACAGAATATGCATCGATACGTCTCTCAAGATCGAGACTGCTTGGTCTGTTGTATGCGGTGTCTCCAGAGACATTGCTGGCACTCTGATGGGTTTTATCGGCACCACAAATCGAGAGCAGCGAGATCTGTCGGCTTATTGACGCTCCTCTATATACTGATGACGTGCAGCGAGCAGAGCAAAATCGTTTGCAAGTACACGTGCGTGTCGGAGATTTCTCGTCCCTGCATGGCTAGCCTCAAGATACACGTTGGAAGTGGTAAGAACTTGAAGTGAATCTGAAGATCGACGGTCTTCTTACAACTCGCAGCTAGAATTTTTCGAACGCGTAAAGGTCACACACCTACACGCTAGACATTGCCGGCGAGGTAGAGCATGACAGGCAGCCCGAGGCGAGTCGTTAGCTTGTTATACAGCATCATCATTACCCTTGCGGAATACCGCGGATATAAACTAATTGATTCTAGAAATGCCGGATATTGGTGCTAAAGATTTTAAGGTTTCGCTGACCGTTGCAAATCAGGGCCGCCGCCTTCCGAAGTCGACATCATACCCCCAAGAATTGCTGTTCAGTGTTCACGAACAGCGTCTACCTCCTCGACATGAATTGGGAGTTGACCTCGACCAGGATGAGATCAGAGCAAGTCGTGTAATGCTGGCTATGATGAGCAATGTAGCGCTCACATCCATTTGTGATTTAGTCAGACAGACGGAGCCGTTGCCCATGACCACAAGACTAACAGTCCGCGGTGAACCCTGATCGAAGCTTTATTTGTCCTGCTATGTCATAGCTTGCTTATGGTCAATTTTTCGCGACGGCGGCGACCAGTCCTTGATCACTTTATCATCCTTGTGCATCTTGATATTTCGTACCCATATCATACTGCTCATCACTCAAAACACCCAAATCGCAGCAAACGCGTCCAACACAACCGGCATTAGCCATGTCGTCCTGCTTCTCTGGATCGGACAGAAAACTGCAGAGGAACAACTCCAAGGTCCATGATGATGGCAGAGCCGACGTCTCCTTCGACGAGAAACTCCAGGCCAAGCTGATGCGCAAATTCCACCACGAAGACAAAAAAGCAAAAAGAAATCCCGATGAGGCTGAGTCTAAGGAGCCCAAGCGTGCAGCATTCCACTGGCGCAAAAGAAAGGACGACTTTGTAGCAGACCTTCAAGGATTTGAAGGAGTACCTCGTATGAATATTGCGGTAAGTCAGCTTCGTCCTCGAAAAGGTCAAGCTAAGCTAACGTCCGAAAGANTCCTCATCACTGGCTCAAGAGGAGATGTCCAGCCCTTCATTGCTCTAGGCAACGTACTGCAAAAGGCGCCATACAACCACCGTGTTAGAATCTGTACTCACCCCAACTTCAAAGACTTCGTCGAAGACAATGGACTGGAATTCTACTCGATTGGAGGCGACCCTGAGAAGCTCATGTCTTACATGGTCCGCAACCCTGGTGTCATTCCGAGTCTCGAATCCATGAAAGCTGGTGACGTCGGTGATCGCCGCGAAGAAATCGCGGAGATGTTGGAAGGTTGTTGGCGAGCTTGTACCCAGGGCGGCAATGGTGTCGATCCCATCAGACTTCCTCAAGCGAGCAAGATTAGCACGGATACAATCATGCAGCTTCCGGATCCTTTCATCGCGGACGCAATTATCAGTAACCCTCCAGCATACGCCAACATTCACATCGCCGAGAAGCTGGCTGTACCCCTGCATATGATGTTCACCATGCCCTGGAGTCCGACTACCGCGTTCGCACATCCTTTGGCCAATCTGGACACCGATAAGGGAGACAGAAAACTTGCAAACTACCTATCATACTACAGCATGGAGCTTCTTACATCAGAAGGATTGATCGACCTAATCAACGACTTCAGAGAAAACACGTTGGCACTGGACCCCCTCCATGCTGCTTGGGCTCACCAACTGCTGCCTCAATTGAAGGTGCCGTTCACATATTGCTGGTCTCCGGCGCTCATCCCAAAACCGGCAGATTGGGGTTCACATATCACTATCAGTGGTTTCTTCTTTATGGATCCCAAGAAGGATTTCGAGTTTGACGCCGACCTGAAAAAATTCTTGGATGCTGGGGACCCGCCAGTATACATCGGCTTTGGCTCAATTGTCGTTGATGACCCAGAGGCGATGACCAAGATGATTCTAGATGCTGTGAAGCAGCTTGGAAGTGAGTTCGCATGCTGCCATATTGAAGCTTGAGCTAACAGTCGCCAATAGNTCAGAGCTCTCGTCTCCAAGGGTTGGGGTGGTATTGGAGGTGAAGACGTCCCTGACAACGTCTTCCTACTTGGCAATGTGCCGCACGACCAACTTTTCCCTCACTGCAGCGCGGTAGTCCACCATGGTGGTGCCGGCACAAATGCCATCGGCATATCTTTGGGATGTCCAACAGTTGTCGTGGTAAGTTAATCAATGAAAACTGTGAGGACTGTGCTAATCTTATACCACTACAGCNCATTCTTTGGTGACCAACCGTGGTGGGGAGAAATGATTCACAAAGCTGGTGCTGGACCATCGCCTATACCCTACAAGGAACTGGACGCCGACAAGCTGGCAAACCAAATCAGGGAAGCACTCAAGCCTGAAACCAAAGAGCGAGCAAAAGAGCTTGCGGCGAAGATTAAGGAAGAAACCGGTGCAAAGACTGCCGCCAAATTCTTCCATGAGACAAAGCAAATGCAGGATGCAGGCTGTTTCCTGTGCCCCGATCAGGTTGCAGTATACCGTGTGAGAAGAACCAACCTCAAACTCAGCGCTCTTGCCACGGCCATTCTCATCGACCATGGCAAGCTTCAACCTCAGCATTTAAAACTCATCAGAAGGAAGCGTTGGTACGTCGAAAAGGGTGCTCAAGAGCCTCTGATCGGTATCTATGGAGCGATTGAGACGACTGGAGTTGGCTACAAGAATTGTGTCAGCCGTTTGGCCAAAGATCTGCACCATAACAAAGCGAGCAATGCACCGGGAAAGATCTTTGTGGGTGATGCAGAAGCTGCTGGCGAGGTACCTGGTGCACTCAAAGCTGTCGGCAAATTCACCGGTTCCGTGGGCATGAACACTCTCAGACTTCCCGTCGACCTTCTATACAACCTCGCCAACGGCTTCCACAATGCACCTTTCCACTTCTTCTCGGACGATACCGTTCGAGTCCGTGGTGAGATCAACGGTGTCATGTCTGGTACCAAGGTTGGATTCCAAGAGCTGGTCTTTGGCTTCTATGATGCATTCACCGGCGTGGTCACCCAACCCGTTCGCGGCTACAAGAAGCACAGCAATGAAGGTGTAGGTCCCGCAAGCTTCGGAGCATTAAAGGGATGTGGCAAGGGCCTCGTCGGTCTGGTCAGCAAAAGTTCCGCCGCCGCTCTCGGCGTCCCCGGCTACGGCTTCAAAGGCCTCGAAAGATCCATCCGCACAGGCTGGAAGACTCGCGACACACCGAACGAAAACAGCTTAGCTTTGCTGCATGCTCTTCGAGGTCAGGAACAAGACGAACAGCAACTAGGCAATGCAGCCTTGGCTTTGGTCTCCCAAGCCCAAGGCAACAGTACCCGCAAACAGATTCGTGGTAGAAGGGGCTGGCAATGCTTTATGGAATTGCAACATTTGAGGCAGAATCCTGACAAAGCCGCCGCCAAAGAGGAAGAGGTTTTGCAGGGCTGGGATCGCCTCAAGGTTCCAAAGGAGTTTACTCGTGTTGAAGAGTAGAATATGACAGAACACATTCTTGTACGAGTATGACGATTAATTTGTAATAACAGTAACGAGTAATGCAATACGCAGTTTAGATGCATTTTCTTCACCTTGATAGACATATGTGGCAAGTTTTGCAGAGTTGTGAAGATGCTTTCAACGTTTGGACGTGTCTGTGGATTGCGATTGATGGTATTCCAATGACTATTCATACCGACAAGCTGGCAAAAGAAAGCGGAATTCGAAGAAGATTGGAAGACGGCAACATAACTTGATCATCAGCTCCAGATACAGTCCATCCGTCTTATAGATATACTCGATTATCTTTCCATGTATCTCTCATGATCATGAAAGCTTGTGGCATGTATAGAGTGAATATAGATGTCAAAACAGGGTCATCCCACCAACGAGCCTCGGCCAAACAGCAGTAAGCCGACCATCCACCATCGAACCAACAATGACTGTTTCTTTAAACATAGGCATAGGTCTATAGTGAATCGACCCACAGCGCTACTCCCGTCGGTTAGCACAGTCCAATCCTGCATCTCCTTTGCCGATGACTAGACTTGGTCGGCGAATCATGTGATGCCGGTAAATCCTGTTAGTTAAAGCAGACTTGTACCATGGCTTGAAGGCGACCCATCACCACATTACTGGCTCGAATCATTGGGTCAAGTTGGGTTGATAATCAAGGAGGAGCGTATTCGATGCAGTCCTTGGCGAATGTTCCTGCGAGAGGATGGACTATTCAATCCGAATGCCGTATCACGATCTTCTACACATATCTTGTGGATTTTGTTACTCCTTCTGGTCTTTCCTGTTGTCCAGTCGACCAAGTCATCTTGGCACTCCAGTTGAGTCTACGGTATCACATTGTTAATCATTGAGATCACCATGTGATATGAGTCTCTGCAGAACTTCGAGCGTGCCTGGCAGGACAAGTATCTCCCTTTGCATGCTTACTTTCCTGCCGCAGAGATGCTAATGCGATGTACAGTGGTAGCATTCGCAAAACCCTCATGTCCACTCGCTCATACATGTCTCATCTCAAAGACATGCTTCGTCGCACTCCACACCACCACCATCGATCAAAGCTCAACCAACTCCACCCCACCACCCTGTTGCTTTGGCTTGTCGCTGCTCAAGGCCTGTCAAGGGAGTCGCGGTCACCAAGCCAAGCAACCACACGAAGCAGGTTTTCGACGATCGAACATTCCCTTTCCATAAAGAGCTAGATATCAGTTACAAAGCCTATGTAAGCAAGACGAAACGAAAGCCGAGAATCACACTAACCATCCCAGCTAGCGAACTTATCTATTTATCATTACCCTCCATACTCCGTCCCACTTTTTCGACATTCTCTCTCTCAGACGTTCACCTCACCGCCTCTGACTATCTCTCTGACAGCATCCACCAATTCACCCAGCACTTCTCCAACAACCACCTCTTCCCTCTCAGCACCAACAACACCAACAAACGTCTCCCCACCCTTGACAAAACTCACGACCTTGAACGGCCGAGGCGAATCTCCCTGCGGCTTGATCAGATCAACACGACAAACACTACCAGCAAAAGGCATGCTGTCAACATCATCTTCATCATCTTGATGATGCACCAAGCTATCGAAACCGGATTTGGCATCCCAGCCCACTGCGCTTGCGATGGCAGCATACCCCACAAAATCGTAAGAGCTGGACTCGGCGAGTTGAGTGGCAATGGAACGGAGCAAAGTCGCAGTGTCCTGAGACGCAGAGAGGGAAACGCGTACAGGGGTGAATTGGTAGCAGGGACCCATGATGGTGTCCGGGTTTGTCAGGCCGTCAATGTTGCGACCGGAGGTCACGGCGCCGAAAACAACGTCGGTGGTCCGGACGCGACGAGCAAGGACGAGTGACCATGCTGCCGTGAGAATATTGGCGGTAGTCGCGTCGGAAGGCTTGTTTGTCATGTCGACCAAGGCAGATTTGAACAAGCCTTTCTCGTTCTCTTGGGCTGAGAATCCCAACGACGACGACGAAGAATTAGAAAGCAAGTCTTTCCAGTAAGTAAGAGCTTTTTTCCGCAAAGCAGGCTCCAATGTGGCAGAAATGTAGGTCGCGAAAGGCTCACTGGTAATCTTGCCACCTTTGTACAACGTCTCGAGATCAGCGAGAAGTGCTGGCAATGATACACCATCATACTGAGCATGTGACAGACGGAAGACGAGACCTTGCTCCCCATTTTTGCTTCTCACATGAGAGATGGCGGTAAACGCACTGCCCAGCGCAAACTCCTTATAAATGTCCTGACGGCATGAATCTTGGAAGTCCCCCTCAATTTCACCCTCGACCAGCTTGCTGAAAACCACTTGATCCAAATTTTCTATCACGACTTGGTAGAAGGTCGAATCGTGCTGGATGAAGACAGTGCGAAGGATATCGTGCGTTCTGACAAGCCGTCTGCAAGCATCGAGCAGCCTCTCACTGTCGATGTTCTTGTCAAAGACCATGGTGGTGTATTGCAGCGATGTTCGTGGATACGTAACAGTCTGCTCAATGTCAAGTGCTTGCGTGTCCGTCACAGGAAGCACATCGCGTACAACCCAGGTCTGGTCTGCAAGCTTCGGTCTGACAATCTCGGACAAGAAAGTCTCAACATCTGACAGACCCAGAGTAGAGAATGGCTTGTATGGCTGAATCTGTTTCTTAGCCTTTGACACAGCGTCCAACTTCATCACCTTGGCAGCATCACCAAGACGCATGTGTTGGAAGATATCGGCCACCGACAAGGCATGTCCTTGCGAACGAAGACTAGATACTAGTTTCATGGCCAAGACAGAGTCACCACCTAAGCGGAAAAAGTTGTCGTCAACATCAATCTTGTCTGCACTGATACTAAGGATTTTGGCCCAAGCTGTCCTGAGGATATCCTCGGGCACTGTTAGCTTAGCTTGAGTTGCATTTGTCGACCACGCTTGCTCGAGTCCATGACGAAGCTGACTGAGGATGTTTGAGGGGATTTGTGAAGCCAGTTTATTCAATCCATCATGGTCAATTTGTCCACTCTTGTCAGTAGGCAAGTTCTCGACCACAATGTATGCAGATGGTGCGACATAAGACGGTAACGAGTCGTGTATATACTTGTCAAGCTTCTTCAGCGCAAGAGCAAGTTCGACTGGAATGCTGGCACGGATTGTTGTTCCCAACTCGAGTACTTGGTGATCCTCAGGCAGGACGTTGACACTATCTTCGAGTGACGGTTGCTGATCGACAAAGACAACGATCTCTTGATTCCCGTCTGATGACGAGTGCGTCACTGCGGTAGCGCCACGAGTAGCAGGTGGTAAGTATCTTGCAACGTGTGCTTCAAGATCAGCAAAGTCGACTGAATGGCCTTGGATAGGCAAGAAGTTGTCCTTTCGCGCAACGAAGACCACGCTACCATCACTGCGTAGCTCAACGAGGTCACCAGTAGCCTGGACATTGCCAGTGCGACCGGGATAAGTCGAACTTCCGGCTAGCAGCCAAGTTGGCGACTCGACGGTCTCACCAGGGAGGAAGTTGCCTTCGAGGTAGAGTTCGCCCACAGAGCCGATGGGCACCAGATTGCACGAGTTACGAGAATCACATACCCATGCCACTGTCGCAGAAGGGTAGACGGAGCCCTGCTTCAAGCTTGTGTTCGCACCCAAACGTCTGGATGGTTCATCATAAGCCAAGGGTGGAGTCTGATTCCACTGCCAAATCACGTTCAACTCAGCTGCTGATAGGCAACTGATCTCGCTGACGTGTCTCGAGAGATCTTTCGTTAACTGAGTACAAGCGACTTCAAGCTGTGCAAGTATACGCTCCATCTGAGTGACCTCAATCAGAGTGCTGTCGAAGTTGGCACAGACCCTGAAGCCACCCTTTCGGATACCACATCCGACCATGAGCGGGTAAGGATTGAAGTGGAGTGCTTCACGAACGACATCTCCAAGCTCGAAGCCAAGATCGTTGCCCACGTACTCTGGCTCGGGCTGGATGACCAGACCAGTCGGTGCTTCCGACGCATGCTGAGCGTCCTGGCTAACCTTTCTGATGTTTTGCCATCCCATGTGCTGGTAAGGTGTCCTGGCTAGGATGCTCTGCTGCACAGTATGCAAGAAAGATTCGAGAGTGCTCGTTCTGTTGATGCGGACACGGATGGGTACTGTAGCAATCAGAGGACCAACAATACCCTCGACTCCGGCAAGTGCGATATCACGACCAGTCAGCGTTTCGCCAAACAAGACATCATCACTTCCCGAGTATTGAGAAGCCACAAGTGCCCATGCACCGCGGATGAGTGTTGCCAGTGTGAAGGGGAACCCTGCACCAGTATCAAGAGGTATGAAACGCTCGACCATGGCATCAGGAGTTGGTACAAAGTCTCTTGATGGAATGCGAGGGAACTGGGGTCCAACGGCGCCCTTGAGCTCCTGTCTCCAGAACTCTTGCATGGCGTGCCCATCTGTCTCGCGAACATATTCGACAAAGTCTCTCATGCGAGCTGGAATCTCCATAGGCTGTTCTTGCAAAGCATCGCTAACTTGCTTGAGAATGAGTGGCTCTGACCATCCATCATAAAGCAGATGGTGAACACTCCAAACCATATATCGTTTGTCAGCCTCCTCGGTCTCGATGATGGCATAGCGGGCCAAGCTTTGACCGAGGTCCATCCTCTCGTTCTTGTCGCTTGCAAGATATTGCTTCAAGTCAGTGGCATGTCTCCAAGATATGCCCTCCTTGAGCACAACTTGTTGAAGTCCAGGCTCCTCGAGCTGGGCAGCACGAGTGCGAAGGATAGGGTTTGCAGCGACGACCTTCTCCCAAGCCCTCTTCAGTGCGTTTGTGTCCATGTGTCGAGGTATGGATGCCACTCTCTGAGCGAGATATAACTCGACAGACTTGAGGGAGAATGTGAAGAGAGACTCTTGTGTAGGGGTACAAGGATATATGTCCTCAATGTTCTCAACATTCGTCTGACAAGCTTGCGCTGCTTCGAGACGGGCATCGTCCACCGAGCGTTCGATGGTAGAGAACGGCTGTATCTCCTTCTGTGCTTGAGCATCGCCAATTTTGACAACAGTGGCCATTGCTGAGAGATTTGGGTTTACAAAAGTGTCGATAACGGACAAGATGAGACCTTGTGCTCTGCAAGTCGACACTAGTCTCATCGCTGCCAAAGAGTCGCCGCCAAGGGCAAAGAAATTGTCTTCGAGACGGATGCCCGAAGCGTCTAGAGTCAATACCTGACTCCAGGCCTGCTGAAGACGCTTTTCCAGGTCGTTCAAATCACGGCCAGCGTCAGTAGAACCTTGGTCTAGATCGCGCAGGTCCACCGTATTTCCAAAAGCTTTGAGTTGCTTGCGATCTGTTTTCCCAGAGATTAAAACTGGAATGCGGTTGACCGGGATGTATGAGGTGGGTACCATATAACGAGGTAAAACGTTCTTCACCTCCGCATCAGCTTTCGAAAGTACTTCGCGCAACTCGTCTGAAAGCTTGATCGAACTGATGTCTGTTTGCCCGTGTCCCTTCGAGGTGACAGGAGCAACAAAGGCCACTAACGTAGCTTGACCTCCTGTTCCTTGCGGCACGACGACCTCAGCAATCACTGTAGTACCAGAAGGTAGTCTGGCACCAAGTTGACTCTCAATCTCGCCCAGCTCGACGCGTTGGCCACGGAGCTTGACCTGGGTATCCTTGCGCCCAGCGAAAATGATACCGCCAGAACCGTCAGGATCATACTTTCCGAGATCTCCAGTTTTGTATAACCTGCCACGGCGTCCAGCATACTTGTCGTGACCTTTGACAAGCCAGGCGGGATCGTTAATGAATACAGCTGCCGTCTTTTCTGGGTCATTCAAGTAGCCTTGTCCGACGATGGGGCCCTCGACAAGCAATTCGCCGACGGCGCCAGCAGGCATGAGTTGCTCATGATCATCAGGATTGACAATCCACATACAAGCTCCGTTTCCAGTACCAATCGAGATATAGTCTCTGCCAGTGGCAGTGTCGCTGTTGATCGTGCATCCAATGGTACACTCGCAAGGACCGTATCCGATAACGATTCTAGTGTCTTGACCCCAGAAGTTGACATCTCTGGCGGAAGCTGCCTCTCCACCTAGACCCAAGACATCAAGTGATTTGATAACATCCGGATCCAAGATTCGAGCCATAGAAGGGGTGATGCCTGCATAGTTGATCTTCATGTCCCTGATGACACCGTTAATGTCATTCAGGCGATCTTCATCAGAGGGAATGCAAAGACAGCCGCCATTGCCTACCGTCAAGAACATGCTGTCAATACTGACATCGAAGGCGTATGATGCGAAATCCAGGACTCTGGATTTTTCGGTATAGCCAACTGCTTTTGCTCTGGGGATAGCGCTGCTGGTATACGTCTTGTGGGAGATCGTAACACCTTTTGGTGTGCCAGTGCTTCCGGATGTGAAGATGATATACATCAGAGTGTCAGGGTCAACGGAAGGCAGTTTCTTTGAATTTCCTGGAATGGCCTGCTTGAAAGCATCCTCTTCGACGGTGAGATGTGGTGCATCCGGCAGTATAGATTTCGCAAAGTCGTGTTGGATGCGAGAGGACACAATCACCCTCGCACCGATCTGTACGGCCATGTTCTGGAGTCGAGCAAGAGGAAGTGACGGGTCCATCATCGCAAAGGTCGCTCCGGCTTTCATGGTTGCCAGTACAGCAACAATCGCCCATCGAGATTTCTCAAAGCACAATGGTACAATGTCGTGTGGCCGCACTCCCTCTGCAACAAGTGATTGTGCCATAAACGTAGAATATTGGTCAATCTGCCCAAAAGTCAAGATGCCATCCCAAGAATCAATCGCAATCTTGTCAGGGAGTTGCTGTGCTCGTTTGGCAACCATTTCATGCATGCAGAAGTCGTAAGTAAGGGGTAGTTCATTGTTGTGACTCCAGATCTCGTCCAGATCGCTCGATGTTGGTCGCAATGAGTCCTGAATCGTCATTTTTGGGTTTGAGATGCAAAGCTGGATGGTGTCCGCTAGTGATTTGATGTATCTGGTCACTTCATTGTCCAGCATGTCCTTGCTGCGGAAGGCTGGTTGGATGTTGAGGGTTCCGTCGAGGAAGCGTACTTCAAGATAAAGTGTCTTCTTTGCTCGCCATGTCAGCCAAGTACATCCTTTACTACAGTCTGATATTTGCNNACGCACTGTTGAGTCCCCGGGCTGCTGAAATAGAATGTTGGTGCTTAGAAGTAGTGAGACAGGCTCCACGCTAGCAGTCCTTTTGGTTGACTCTGCTATTGAGATCTGGTTCGCAATGTTCTCAATAACATTGTCGACCGAGTCCTGCAGACCTCCCATGATTTTGTCCATGGAAATGTGCTTGAGGGGCTCCTCTGGCTCGTTTGAAGAACTTTGATATGTCCAGTCGAATGATACACCTTCGCCTTCTCGAGTGCGTAGCAGCACGATCAACCATGATGCTAGCACGATATCCTCTCTCATGCTAGTTGGTGTAGAAGTGAATTGAGGATATAGATCAATTATGTTGTAGGAGAACAAACAATCCTTTGTTGTGCCACTCACAGCTCCAGACTCGAACTCAGTGGAGTGTCTGTAGCCCATCTCTGCGATTTCCCGGGCTTGTAGTGGTAATTTTGGTAATGGTATTGCACGGTCGACAGAGTTCAGACTCAATCATACAGCCGATTATACTACAAAGGTATCTCTACTCGAGTCCACTTGCCCAGAGTCACCAAGATGGAACATGCCGGGCAAGACCAACAGACCATGATGGTCCTAAGCGACATCGGGTCATGGCCTTCGGGCACGGGAGATCCGCTACAATGGCACGACATCTGATAAGATGAAGAGTTTTCAAGGCGCACGTCCGCGTGCCCAACACGAGCAAGAGCCGGGAGCTACTCAACACGCTACTAGAGGTCGGTGCATCTGATTAGATGAATCGCGTTTACCAACGTCGTTGGTGGTCCACTTGGTTCGCGAAAACCTTGAGGAAGGATGGAGGATGGAGTGGGGTCACAGCACAGACGACATTTCCATCTGATTAGATTTCGAGGCGAGCTCAATCAAAGCTCTGACCACAGAGCAGAATCGATCTTTCAGCTCCTCTCTTGCACCGAGGACATTGTCACTGCTCGGATCAAATTAGATTCGGCGTGTCAGGCCAAGACTCGTACTCGGCCAGTAGCCATCTCTTCTCCACAAGTATACTGCTGGTGATGGTGAGGTCGTGATTTATGGAGGCACAAGCAGGATCTGCGGGGCGTCCTAACGCACGTCCCACTGTCCCGCACGAGCGAAAAGTCAGAAAGTTGGGCGCTGTCAACGTGTCGGCGTAAATTTTGCCATGTTTCTCGTTGCAACGCTACGGCACCGGCGGCGTTACCCACTCGTGCCATCTCGCAGATCATGGCATGGCTAAATGACACTCTCCATGGGTCGAGCAGCATGTGCGGGTTAAGCCATCTGTGCCGAGGGATGCCATCAGGGTGTCCAGAAGATAGTTGCTGCTTGAGGTAGATCTCGACTTGCTGCTATCGACAGATCAACAGCGTTTCAACATCACAGAATGGCCTCTACATTGCCACACCAGTATCCCCTGGTCAAGCTACCACATCCCTTCCTCACGTCGTACCGAGTCAATGTGGTTTCGTCAAACGCACCTGCCAGACGGGTCTTGCATCTGGAAGAGCAACCTTCAAATGGCAAAGCACCAGCCGAAGCCTTGCACTCGGACTCGTTGACATGGCTTGACTTGCACACAACGTCCAAGGAATCTCACCCTCCGCTTAACGACAACAGCGATTGGGCTCGTGCTGTCCGCGGTCCCCAGACGACCTTCAAATGGTCAGACAGTGCCGCTCCCACCCTTGGCCAGGTGTGGAACGTTGTCCACGCCATCTACCTTGCTTTTCCCAACACTGAGCACTTCCGCTTGACGCTGCAAGGCGCAGAGAAACAGACTCTTCATGACGAGTTGCTAGCCACTGGTCTCGCCATTGAACACCCCAAGCCATGGCACTTGCCCAGCGAGTCCATTCCTCGTAGCAATGAGCTCCTCATCCTTCGTAGCTCCTTTTGGCAAGGTGCCGCATCCCCTACCGGTCCGCGTCCCATCTGGATTCTAGGCGACGGCATTGACAAGCCCCTCCGTCAACCTCTCTCGCATTACCCTCTGATGCCCGAGAATCACCACTTCACCATGAAGTTTCCCAACGAGCGAGTCTACGCCCGCCATCCCGTCCGCCGCCCCAAGCCCGCTCCCCAAAGCATATGCTATTCGCGCTACATACCCGAAGTGAACCAGCACTTTTCTCTCGAGGTTGTCGATTGGACCTCACCCGAACATCTCAACCTCTTCCACACATGGCAAAATGACCCTCGCGTCGCAAAAGGATGGAATGAAACTGGAGACCTCGAACACCATCGCAACTACCTCAGGAACTTGCACTATGATCCTCATGTTCTTTGCTTGTTTGGCCGCTTCGACGACACTAGATTCAGCTACTACGAGTTGTACTGGGCAAAGGAAGATCACTACGGCGCACACTTTGAGGCTGGAAACTATGATCGCGGCCGTCACTCCCTTGTCGGCGATTCCTCCTTCCGTGGCGCCAAAAGAGTCAATGCTTGGTACAGCAGCTGCATTCATTACTGCTTCTTAGACGACCCTCGCACTGCCAATGTAGTTGGTGAGCCTAAAGCTTCTGGAAGTATCATTCTGAGCTACGAGCAGAGCCAGGGGTTGGCAATTGGCAAGTACGTCGACCTGGGTCATAAGAGGAGTATGCATAGTGTTGCGAGTAGGGAGAAGTGGTTCCAACTCTGTCCGGTGTTCTGGGATGGAAGGGAGAGGCCTTTGGAGAGTGCTGACAGAGCCGCTTGGGCTGCTAAGCTGTAGGACTCCTTTCAGTTTTGATATTTGAAAGTAGGCGAATATGAACGAATGTATGCTTCCCGATTCTTGATGCATTTGGCAATCACTGAATCGTGACCCTGTCCCTCCAGTACTTGTCAAGCTTGAAGATCATTCGGGAACCATGGTCATAGTCGTTCTGTCAGCTAGACCACAGATGTAACACAAGAATCATGCCCTAAAGCACCGGTTATGAGGCCAAGGGATTCTTATGATACCATGCCAAATCAGAACTCATTCCGTGAGAAGACGATCGTCGCGACATCCATCCAGATTTCTGACAAGGTTGCAGCCAAGAACGAGGTGCATGGACGGTGCATTTAGGGTTATCAATCTGATAATCGACCCGCTCTAATGCAGAAAGCTCGGGTTGAAGGCTTGGCGAGAATGAATCTCTCGTTCCCGCCATCCACCAAGCTCGTGTCAGAGACATGTCGCGCCATTGACAAGCTTCCCATGGCTCGTTGTGCAGCCTTGATCTTTCTCTGCTTGCTTGCTTGCTTAATGAGGGCTGATCCAGGGTCCGTGTTGTTACCGTTGATCGATTCTGTTGGACCGAGGGTGCGATGATCTCTCGCTGCATCCGAATCACGACCCAAATCCGAGTGTGCCTGCCGAAGCGAAACAGCACGGTCCATTCGTGTTGAACGCGAGCACTTGCGCACGTCAAGAGCCACCGTTGCTTTGGCTTGCTCACATCATCAATCCGAGATGACGTTGGGTCGTAGCTTTTGGTCTCGTCAGGACCGTTCAGCCGGTGTCGGGCTGGGTGGTTAATGGATAGACATGGCGGGGCATGCATTGGTACATTTTTATCAGATCCGCACTGGGTGTCGAAGACATTGATGTAAGGAAACAATCACAATGCAAACAATCAACTCCATCTACGAGGTGAATACACCGAAGACTCAATTGTCTGTTTTCCATGGACCAGCAGATCCTCCACTGGTGACAGTCGCTTTAGGAGAGTTTCTCGACATTCAATGCGAACGATATGGAGAGCGTGAAGCACTTGTCTTTCCCTGGACTGGAACACGATGGACATATAACGACTTGAAAGATGAAAGTTCGAAACTCGCCAGATACCTTTACTCGAGAGGCATTCGTCCAGGGGACAGGATTGCAATTCTTGCTGGTAACAGAGTCGAATACGCTTCGGTCTTCTTTGCGTGTATGCGTATTGGAGCCGTGCTGGTCATCCTGAACAATACATACACGATCCCTGAGGCAGAGTATGCTCTCCAGTACACAGGTGAGCAGTGAAATGTTTCATGACAGCAAACGTATCCTAATGGACCTCTAGATTGCAAGGTTCTCTTCGCGACACCGACCATCGGCAAACACATCGACAATTCGAACATGCTAAGGCGGTTCTCGAACAGCTCAGAGAAGCTACCAGCATTGCAGCAGATCGTCATTCTTGCAGACTCCCTCGACAATCTACTGCACTATCAAGACGCCATCAAGATCGGGTCACGACTGCCTAACGGCCCGGTGAAAAAAGTGCAAGATAGCCTCTCCCCTTACGAGACATGCAACCTACAATTCACAAGTGGCTCAACTGGTCATCCTAAGGCAGCTATGCTCACTCATCATGGTCTGCTCAACAACTCCCGCTTCATCGGTGATCGTATGAGTCTGACCGCAGAAGACGTACTGTGCTGTCCACCACCCATGTTCCACTGCTTCGGTCTGGTACTAGGCATGTTAGCTTGCTTGACACATGGCGCGAAGATTGTATATCCTTCAGAAATATTCGATGGACCTTCAGTATTGCAGGCCATCACCGATGAGAGATGTACCGCCATCCACGGAGTACCAGCCATGTTCGACACACTGTTCAGTCTGCCACGGCCCGCAGGTTTCAACTGCGACAGGCTGCGAACAGGAATCATCGCAGGTGCCCCTGTTCCACGCCACTTGATGGAATTGTTGATCAACGAGTTTGGCATGACAGAGTTCACCAGCAGCTATGGCCTCACCGAAGCCTCGCCGACTTGTTTCAATGCCTTTGTCGACGACTCCATCGACCGTCGTCTTACAACAGTAGGCACCTTGATGCCACACGCACATGCCAAGATTGTCGACAAGAACAATCGCATCGTCCCCGTCGGCACCCGCGGAGAGCTCTGCATTGCAGGCTACCAACTCCAACAAGGCTACTTCCGTAACGCCGCAAAGACAGCTGAGGCCATGGAACGCGATGCCGATGGTGTGCTATGGCTGCACACGGGCGACGAAGCAGTCTTCGACCGCCACGGCTACTGCTCTATCACAGGACGTTTCAAGGACATCATCATCAGAGGTGGGGAAAACATCTATCCGCTAGAGATTGAAGAACGCCTTGTCAAGCACGAGGCGGTTGAGAGAGCCATTGTCGTCGGCTTGCCACACTCCAAGTATGGCGAAGTGGTTGCTGCTTTCCTGCAGCGCAAAGCTGGTGCTGTGCCAAAGCCGACCGATGAGCAAGTGCGTGAGTGGACCAGACAAACTCTGGGAAGACACAAGGCTCCTGCCCATGTGTTCTGGCTGGGTGAGAATGGTGTCACTGATCAAATTCCTATTACCGGTAGTGGCAAGATCAAGAAGTTTGAGATGAGGAAGATTGGAGAGGAGTTGTTGGCTTCCATGCCCAAGGCCAAACTTTGAGCGTGCAACAACAGGCTCTGTATTGGAGTTTGGATCTTTTAGTCTTTATGGGAGTTGTGAGTTGTTTCTTTTGTAGCAAGAATTAGTGGTTCTTCCTCCATTTCACGTTTTCCTGAGATCTGTGAACAGCGAATTTTGTTCACATTGTTCTCCAGTTTCGCCGTCTGATGCTCTTGATTCATAGTGAGAAGAGATGATAGAACATACAAAGATGATGTTAGGTTCCAAGAAGATACAGATGACGCTATCAACGCAGAGATACAGAACCAATCACACTTTTCCTTTTCCAGACCCTCATACTCTCGATGTCCCACTCACGCCTTGATGATGTATATTTACAACATGGCAACCTCGCCCCTGGCCTCTTCACTACCAGCCACACTATCAAGCACAGAAGCCAACAAACGACCGCTTCTCTCCACGGCATACCCCATATCCTCATCCCTCAACCCTTGGTCCAATGACCCCATGACCCAGATACCGGTATCCTTGGCCACGGCATTCCTACGGAACGAGAGTTTGTATTCTGCATCCACTGCCGCCTTTTTGTCTTGCAGCACACCAGCGGCTTCAATATCTTGCAGTAGAGAAATCGAATGCTCGTATCCACCTGCCGCAATCACGATATCGAAAGCGCCCGGGCTGGTGCTGGTGGCATTCGTACGTGTGTTTTGGAGACAGAGGCGGAGTTTGTTGCCAGACGGGATGACGGAAGTTACGAGGGACAAAGGTGCGATGGTGAAGCGCCAGTCGCTTGGTTTGGGAGTTGAGATGCGTTGTGCGTAGAGGTTTTCGTAAAGTGTTTCGATTGTGCGAAGGGAAATTTTGGAGGTTTGGGAGGAGGAAGAGGAGGGGGGGAGTAGGCGGGGGCGTAGTTCGGGTGGGTATTGGGAGGTTGTTGCGCCGGGGAGGATGTCGTCGATGATGTCTTGGGTGCTAAGTTTGGCTAGTGTTAGTAACCTTTGGGTGTGAAGGGAAAGGATAGGGGGTAGGCTTACAAGNGAAGTATTGTCCTCTGGTCGTAGAGCAGAGTCTGTGATGAACATTGTTGCTCGCACGCGGTGCAAAGCTCCTGCACTCTGCAAGTGCTCAAAGATCTCAGCGGCCTCTTGGTCTGCTCCCACGATAGCAATATCCTGGTCCTTGAGGTTGTGCAGCAGAGGTCCAACTTCAGAAGTATGAAGCACCTTGCCCTTTGCTCCCGTCAAAGCATCAGGGATCCTAGGCTTGGAGCCAGTAGCCAAAACAACACGCTTGCAAGCAATAGTGCTGGTGGTTCCCTGAGCATCACAAACACCAATCTTCCAGCCACTGATCTGCGAAGCTCCAATCTTGACAGGAACAACTCTGGTGACAGTGCTCGAATACCTCACCCACTCCATCTCCTCCATCTTTGCCGCAACCCAAGTCAGATAATTGCCCATGACCAATCGCGTAGGAGCCATATGTGAAGAATTGACAAACTGCACCAACTGCCCACTCTCGAAAAGATAGTTGACAAATGTAAACTCGCTGCGAGGGTTGCGTGTAGTGATCAAGTCACGCAGGAAACTCGTGCGGGTGGCATTTTCTGGCAATACTGATGCAGGTGCCCAGTCAAAGGCAGCCTTGGACTCCAGGAAGAGGACTTTGAGTGGAGTTTCAGAGTCTGCCAGTGAGGTTGCGAGGGAGAGTGCTGTGCTACCAAACCCTACGACGACGAGGTCATAGGATTGAGTTGGGTGTGAGGCATTGGAAGCAGCAGCCTTTGTTGTGGTTTCCTGGACTTGGAAGGACATTTTTGCGATTGATGTCTTTTGAGCACCTTGATAAAAGGACAAAGAACTGATTGATAAGATAAAGAAAAGTAGCAAGAAAGACACACACAAGAGGGAAGATCAAAAGATCAAAAAGATTGATAACGTACAGAGTACAAAAAATATTTGTCCTCTGTAATCACTCGAGTACAATCCAACTTACTCCCCGGCAGACCATGCAAATCGTACGGCTTCGACAACTTCCTCCGTTCATCGGCCTGCAACCAAAATTATGGCATGATTGACACATGCCTCGCGATGCTCGTGCAGCCAATTCGATCTGATAAAAATTTGATCTTTTAGCCTTTGGCACCAAAACACCGACCCACAAGTGCCGGTGTCATGCAGGGTTCATCTCGAGCACGAGCATGGACACCCACCGTTGATGGTGCCCAGAGCCCGAGTCAAGCCACCCTGTGCAGCAAAAGCAAGGCTCGCAAGCGACGAACAAAATCGGGAAGGTGCGGACAAAAAGTCTGCAGAAATTGTGGTGCAGCGGTGAAACGAGCAGGATACGAGAAAAAAGATCCAAGCTCGCTGTAGATCATCTGATTATTGGCGCTTCCATCTGATTAGATTTTGGGTCGTGTGACATTGCTGTTTTCGTGCCCTATGCTACCACCCACCACCCTCAGTCATAAAAGTACCTTGCGACGGTTCTCCGAATGTGCCCGACGGTGAAAAGTCTGATCTGATTAGATTGTGCTAGGAGGATGTGGAGGGTATGTCAGTGCAGTCATGGGTCGATGGCGTGTATGCTAGTCTACAACACGGTGGTCTAGCTCAAGCCTCGTGCGGCGAGGATCTTAGTACATGATTCTGCGGAATATACCATTTGTTTCCCAAAGTGTGGTTGATCTGGGCAGGTCTGTGGTGATGATTGGATCCATGTGAAGTGACATCAGATCTTCACAGTAGCTGAGAGCAAAGGTATCAAGGTAGTCTTCACAGATCCACAAAATTCGATGGAGAATAAGGAGGGGACAAATGAAAGTCAAGCTGGAAGAGTGTACATGTATGGTTATCCTTTTGTCAAGCATCTTATCTATGCGCTGCCCGTAGACTTGTTCAGGTATCCCAATACCTTCTCGCACAGGAATTTTCTCGCCGGACCTTGGTCGTCGTTACTCAGAGCATGTGATGCATTAGGTACAACGGCAGTGTGCTCATCATCCCAAATCTCCTTGTCTCCGCCATCATTGGCTGCCTTGGCCCATCTCTTCATCAGACCTGCTTTGTCAACCCACTCAGGGACGGCTTGATCCGCACCCGAGTAGAAGGCAGCCATCTTGTTCTTCAACAATCCTTGCTTTTGAATCATACCGAATGACTTTGCCAATTGTTCGTCGCTGAGATCTGAACTAAAAACATCGTCCTCGGAGGGATTGTGCGGGCTTTCTGGGCTCACCAGACTCAAGAAGCGGCGTGCGGATAGCGGTGTGTTGGCGGGGTAGCCGATCTGGTATGTCAAGTGGATGGGCAGTAGCGCATCGAATGTCTGATCATCTTTGCTAGCCAACTCCTTTGCCATCTTCTCTAGTTGCTCGTAGTATGCTTGACATTGCTCTGGAGTGTTGCCGCGGAAGCCGTGTTGGCAGACAAGTTTGATGCATTCTCTGTCACTGATGGGTGCTTGCATAATTGCACCGTCGAGTGCCAATCGTTGGAGATGCTTCAGGTCGGAGTCGAACGAGGGGTTTGTGGTGTGAGGGTTTGATCGTGACAGGTAGTGTAGCACCATCTGGCTGCCGGTCGAATGTCCCATCAACACAATCTTGCCATTGTCGCCGAATTTGGATGTCTTGTAGTCCTTGATGTATCGTATCGCCTGAGCGAGCTCGTCGGTGTCTCTGTCGAGGTGTCCGAGACCCCATGATTGATATGATGATGTGAGGGTGAGCGAGAAGAGCGACCATTCTGTTTGTGATAGTGCGTGGACCAGATCTGCTGTGTAGGAAGTCGTTCCTAGACCGTCGCCGAGGCCTCCGACGAAGAGGATGCTGTGAGGCTTGCGTACGGCATTGGCTGTGTATTCGAATGTCGTCAATGTCTCTGTCTACAGCTCGTGCATCAGTAGCTGTCGGTGAAGCTCGAAGCTGCGAAGACGTACGAAGTGGTGCAAGATGCCCTGCATACCACCCTTGGGCCAGAACTGCGAGTATTTGCTCATCATAGTGTGTCTTGCAAGGTATAGCAGATATGCCCAAAGTCACAAGATCCAGGTTTCAATACTGCTGGAGTCAACGGTATGCAATCACACGCGATCGATACAGTGGATGAAACAGAGATCAAGACACGAGGCAAGCACGACCCTCGCCATGTCAGGCTCGACTCGCGGTGATACACTGACCACTTTCTCCGGCCACAAAATACCCGGCGGCATCGGGCTCGAGCTACAGTATGAGCTCTGACATTCAAACAAAGCAGCTTGTGGCAGGACCCACCGCGGGTCTGATAACCCTTGACCGCTAGCCACCCAACAAAAAATCTGATAAAACCGATCGAGGTTGCTTGGCAGGGCGCGCCGGATCAGATAGCTCTTTAGCGCTGTCCAAGCAAAGCTTCACGGCGTCCAACCTTCGCTAAAGTCTCGGATCAGATAATCTTGTTTCGACCGACCCCTGCACTATGCTTTGGTTTTTCTAGCCGATGGCGTCTCCAGTGGATGCCACGTATCGGTGACAGATGCACCCACTCTATTCTATGCCGATTCTCTGATCCGTGATCGCGCCCCAAGAAGCAATCAAGTCGCGGTGAAGGTAGCGGCAACGATATTACATACGATAGAGATTGTTATGCTCGTTTATGAATGAGATGATACAGTGCAAAGATGGCAGACTGTAAATTGCAATGCTTTAAAACGCTAGAAACGACTTTTTCATGATGATTAAAAACAAGATATGATTCGTACAAGATCGTTCATCCTCTTCGTGATCTGTGACAGGTGAAGTTGACCAAAGAACGTGTCGAGACGATTAGAACAAGACACCCTTCGTCTGAGTCTTGGTGAGCTTGACGTCCTTGATGATGAACATCCAAACAAGTGATGTTGCCATGATGCAAGTGCCGGCAATCAACATTCTGCTCTGTGCGACTGCGTAAGCCTTAATGATGGCTTCACGAACGGGATCACCCATGGCGTAGCTGAGCTGAGTTTCGAGATCTTCGTAGATGGTCTCCCAATCGGCGAGCGCATCGGCAGGAAGATACTTCTGCAATGCGTTGGGCAGAGTGTGTTGCCAGACAGCACCAGAAATACTGCCACCGATACCACCGCCAATGTTACCAAAGACGTTGAGGAAAGCCAGAGCTGCAGCGGCATTGTTGTGGTCCGATGCAGAGAGAACAGCAACCTGTTGGCAAATAATCATGGTACCTCCGGCGAAAGCGATGAAGATCTGGCACATGATCGTGTAACCAACAGAGAAGCCGGGCTGGCGGAAGTAGATCATCAACCCGATGCCGAGGATGTAAAGAGGAACGGCAATCCAGAGCAACCAGCGGAAGCGATTGGTGCCTTTGATGGCGAAACCAACGCAAAAGAGCCATACACCAGAAACAACGTCGAAGATGCTGCCAATATAACCGGCGGTCGAGACATCCACACCAAATACGACCTGAAGGTAGGATGTGAAGTAGTCGTACCAACAGTAGTAAGAGATCTGGTAAGTGGCGTCAATCAAGCAAGCGCCAATGACAGTTCTGTTGGCGAGGAGCTCCCAGGGAAGGAAAGGAACGGGAGCGAGGAAGCGTTCTGCCAGAGCAAAGCCAATCAAACAGCAGAAACCGATAACAAGCATGACAATGATGTGAGGAGACCTCCAGTCATCTTCGGCAGAGCCTGCGATGGTGAATGGAAGCAGGAAGAGGGAGAGACCGGCAGTCAAGAGGAAGACACCGAGCACATCGAACTCAATAACATAGTACCAAACACTCTGCTTGAGGGTCCTGCCACTCTTGGCCTTCTCCTTGAGAAGTCCATTCTTCTTAGCCTTGGAGCGGAAGTAGCGCAGCAGGCCGAAGAAGGGGAGGACAACGCAAGGTAGAACGATACAGAAGGTTCCGTATCCCCAGCGCCAGTTGGTTTCGTGGAACTGCTGGGCAGCTGCGGGACCAGCGTATGCGGTAATGATGAACGGAGATGAAGTGAGAGCATAAGCCAGACCTCTGCTGCGTAGTGTGGAAGTATCAATGGTGACAACGTCAACACAGAAGATGAGACCGGCAGATCCGATAGAGTAGAAGACCTGAGCAGCACAGTATGTTCCAATGCTGTTGCAAGTTGCCGACAAAATCAATCCGAGAAGGAAGAACGCGAGCATGATCAAAAGACCAACAGTACGATCCCACAGGTTCAGCACCTTGGCAAGGGGCATGTAGGTTGCGGCGCCCATGATGGAGCCAATGATGGAGATGACGGGGAGCAGGGAATGCGCTTCGAATCCAGAGGTAATGAAGGGCGAGAGGTTGGAAGTAATGTTGGACTGGAAAGCGTTCACGCAGTAGATGGACCACATGNNCTGTTTGACATGTCAGTCGATAATCAAGACTATTGCCTACTGTGATACTTACAGTGCATAAGTTGCGATCATAGAGCTCTTGGTCCATGACAGTGTGATGGCCTCGGCCTGTGTGACACCAGCTTGGGCATCCTCATTAGGAACCTCTTCGCTGGCTTGGTCGGCAGTCACCTCATCCTGTGCGTGTTTGGAATCTCCATGAGGACCATATCTCTCTGGATCGTGGAGGTGCATCTCGGTAGTTCCGACTTCCGAAGCAGAGCTGGAACTGCCTTCTTGCGGATCAATAGAAGACGAGAAGAACTTCCTCCTCAATGCTGAAGGCATCTTGGCTGTTCTCTAGATGGAAGAGAAGGTGTGGATGGAAACAAGGACTTCGGGAAACACGATCCCTTGTAGAAAGACAAAGGCACTTTCCTTTTTATCTGGAAGGAGTCCAGCTGAAGGAAAAAATGGGACCATACCTCAGACTCGGGGTCTCGCTGAGGTTTAACGGTACTGGGGACTCCCTAGCGTGCGAGGCCAAGGATCAGGGCGGATCAGATTAGTACGGATCGATTCTACCGGGTTGCAGCGCCGCAACCAAGTCATGCGATTTCGGTAATTTTGGTCGCGCTCGCACGAAGCTGAATCGAAGCCCTAGGCTTCGCCTTCCATCGCGCCTTTCAGAGCACACCCGGTCCGCTACGAAGAACCGCCGGCGCATTCCTTGATCAGATAAGATTCGACCAAGGATCAGTACCAAGGCCTGTACCGGCCGGTGAGGGCTGGTGTCGCTGCTGTCAACGTAATCTCGGCGCGTCTGGAATATTGGGCGGGGAGGGACGAGTCTTTTTCGGGCGCTGTGTCGCGAATTCTATGGAGTTGCTCCGGCCTCGGGACCCACGCGAAGCCTGAAGGATGCGCCCAACGTCCGCCCCCATGCCACCATGAGTTCATCAAAAGATCATCAAGATTATCTTATCTAGCGCGGTAGCAGTGCGCAAACGATGTCGCATTAGCCCGTCGCCGTCCGATGTTTCTGACTGTGATTGACAGCACAGGCTTTCGTAATGATTTGCTCTCTTCACCCAGGCATTTGTGTCGGCTAACTCGTATGACTTTATGAATCTGGCTTTGTCCAAGGGCCGTGAGGTGCAAAATGGAGGCAGACCCACCTGATTTCTGGCGGCGGCCACCATTCACTTCCTGGTACTGTGCATCCTTCGTTTCTTCGCAGCATTTCTTTATCAGATCAAAGATTTCAAGGTCCAGGCGCACTCTTTTGCTATTGACGGACCCCACTGGACCCTACTTGTTGTCTAGCACTGCATCACGACGGTATTGAGTTGCCCCTTCTTCGGTGTAGTTGATGGTTGCGATTGTCGACTAACAATCCTACTAAAAGGCATAACAATATTCGCCAGGCCTCAGGCACGATCGAGTCCATAATGGCAGGCTTCATCCAGAAGATTGGAGGCTACCCTCGTCTTCTGCTTGCGGGTAACCCAACAGCACGCGACATAGGCACATTGTTACTCGGTATCATAAGCTCAATAGCAGCTGGAGTTCCATTTCCTATCATTGGTATCCTGTTTGGTCAACTTCTGGACGACTTCAACGCAGCAACGTGCGATCAAGCGACAGATGCTGGAGATGGCGACCAAGGAAGCATTAACAACACCATTCTGATCATTTTCTATTTGGCTATCGCCCAGTTCGTTTGCATTTACGTACATCTGACTTGCTGGACTCTCAACGGCGCTCGATTGGCACAGAGACTCCGTGAGAGCTATCTCCAGAACTTGCTCAGACAGGAGCCTTCGTTTTTCGACAATCTACCCCCGGGAGAAGTCGCATCAAGGCTTCATGGAGACATTCAGACCATTCGCTCCGGCACCGCAGAAAAGGTTGGAATCTGTCTTTCAAGTTTGTCCTTCTTCGTCACAGCATACATTGTCGCATTCATCAAAGATTGGAAGTTGGCCGCAGAATTGCTCTCTCTGATCCCAGCCTACTTCATCATGTCAATCGTTGGAAGCCACTATATCGAGAAGTACTCAGGCATGGTCTCAGACTACGCTGCATCTGCTGCGTCTATCGCTTCAGAGGCACTGAACAACATCATGGTGGTTCAGGCTTTTGGTGCCAATGCTCGTCTGGAAAAGAAGTTCTCGGATGCTCTCAGAGCTTCTGAGCATGAAGGTATCAAAAAGGCTACTGCTATTGGTATCCAGAGTGGTGTTCTCTATTTTGTCGCCTACTCTGCCAACGGTCTGGCCTTTTGGCAAGGAAGCAAGCGCATCGCAGATTCTGTGGAAGGAAAGTCTGGCGGTACCACTGTCGGTGCAACATTCACCGTCATCTTCATTCTCATCGAAGCCACTCTACTTCTCAGTCAAGTGGCTCCGTTCGTTCATCTGTTCTCAGCAGCCGTCGGTTCCTTCAACAAGCTCCGTGAAGATATCGATCGCGAGCCTTTGATTGACGGACACACCAAGTCGGGCCTTGCACTTCCCCGAACAGGAGCTGGATTTGAGTTCAAAGATGTTTCATTTACATACCCTTCGAGACCTGAAATTACCGTTCTTGACAAGATCAGTCTTTCTATCCCTGCCAATAAACATACCGCACTTGTCGGACTTTCAGGCAGTGGCAAGTCTACCATCGCAGGTCTAGTCAGCAGACTTTATGATTCTACTGATGGTCATATCACGTTTGATGGACAGGATGTTCGCACACTCAGCGCTCGCGACTTGCGAAGTTTCATGAGTTTGGTTCAGCAGGAACCCTCGCTTCTTGATCGTTCTCTACTGGAAAACATTGCACATGGTCTAATCAACTCCAGCGATCCTGATCACGCTCAGTTCAAGGATCTCCTTCTCGGCTCTGATCTTGCAGAAGTCGCTGCTGAGATTCGCGAAGGCACCGATCTCATGGCTGCTGCAGAGAAGCGTGGTCCTATTGTTGTCGAGATCGCTGTGTTAGCCAAGAGAGCTGCAGCCTTGGCAGATGCGGATCAATTCATTGCCGCACTCCAGCAAGGGTATGGTACTGTTGTTGGCTCAAGTGGGCGCCTCATCAGCGGCGGTCAAAAGCAGCGCATCGCTCTTGCAAGAGCTTTAGTCAAAAACCCTGCTGTGCTCATCCTTGACGAGGCCACTGCTTCTCTCGATTCGAGGAGCGAGCAGCGCATTCAACGCGCCATCAACAGCATCACCAGTGGAAGAACTGTCATCACCATCGCGCATCGCTTGGCCACTATCACCGCCGCCGACAACATCATCTGTATGCATAAGGGACACATCCTTGAACAAGGTACTCACTCAGAGTTGATGGCCAGTGGCGGGACCTACGCCGATATGGTCAAGATGCAGACTCTTGGAAACATGTCCGAAGCGAAAAATGAGAGTGCAGACAACATCAGTGTTTCAGATCACACGTCGATTGGCGACATCGAGAAGAAGAGCTTGTACGAGGATACTGTCGAGGCCGAAAAAGCCGAGCTCTCAGCAACAGAATCACCTGTCAGAGATTCTGCAGATGAAGAAGAGCCAGAAGAACTTCCAGTACCTCCAAAAACTCTCTGGGATCTGGCAAATGGCTATGGCCCGGCACTCAGACCACACATACTCTACATTCTTGTTGCTTTCATTGGCTCTGTCTGCGTTGGTGGCGCTTTCTCTGGCGAAGCTGTCATTTTCGGTAACACTGTTGGCAGTCTCAATCCTTGCCACAGTCCTAGCAGAATTCGTAACCGTGGTGACTTCTTTGGTCTCATGTTCTTCATTCTTGCCATCATTGAGTTCTTCGCCAACCTCGTCAGTTGGTGCGGATTTGGCTGGGTGTCAGAGAAGGTTGTTTACACTGTCAGAGTCTTGTCGTTCAGATCTTTGTTTGAGCAGGATCTCCAATGGCATCAATCTGAGGGACGTACACCAGCTTTGCTTCTCTCATACATTACTAGAGATGGAAATGCACTGGCTGGATTCAGTGGTTCCGTTGTTGGAACCTTGTTCTCTATCACTGTTAACCTCATTGCCGCCATCATCCTCACCCACATCATTGCTTGGAGAATTGCTTTGGTCTGCTTGTCACTCGTGCCACTTCTACTCGGAGCAGGTCTCATGGAGCTGCGCATCCTTGGCAAATTCGAAGAAAAGCATGAAACTGCATATACCAAGTCAGTGGACATTGGTGTAGAAGCCATCACTTCTATCAAGACCATCGCCTCTTTCTCACTCGAGGAAGAAATCTTACGCACATACAGACGCTCTCTCAAGGGTCCCCGCAAGGACACTCTCAGTGTGACCTTGCAAGCCAGTCTTTGCCAGGCCTTGACATACTTCTTAGGAAACTGCGTCAATGCTCTTGCCTACTGGTGGGGTTCCAAACAGATCCTTAATGGCAACTACTCACAGACACAATTCTTGATTGTTGTGTTCTCTCTGCTTGTCGGTGCATTGCTGTGGTCGCAAATGTTCGCATTAGCCCCAGAGATTTCTGCCGCTCGCAATGCCATGGCAAGAATCTTGAGCTTGATCCAGATTGGCAAGGACAAGATGGCAGGTCATGTATATCCTGTCGATATGTCACTCGAGGGCAACAACATCGAAGCCATGGCTGAGACCAAGACTTCGCATATGTCAAATAATAAAGCCTCGAGTGTTCAGATGAGAGATGTACACTTTTCATACCCAGCTCGTCCTGATGTCAAGGTGATGAATGGCCTGAACATCGACATCAAGCCTGGCCAATTTGCTGCGCTTGTTGGTCCCAGTGGTGCCGGAAAGTCAACTGTCATCTCTCTGGTTGAGCGCCTTTACGTCCCTCAATCTGGTTCTGTACTCATCGACGGTCTCGACGTGACCAAGACTCGCGACACATCTTTCCGTGACAGCATCGCCCTGGTACCTCAGGAAAGTGTTCTATTTGAGGGAAGTGTCGAATTCAACATTGGTCTTGGCGCTCGTCCCGGCCACACCGTTAGCAAAGAAGAGATCATCGAGGCGTGCAAATTGGCCAACGTACACGACGTTATCGCTGCCCTGCCAGATGGCTATGATACTCTTTGCGGACCTAATGGTAGCCAATTCTCCGGAGGTCAGAAACAGCGCTTGTCGATTGCACGCGCTCTGGTCAGAAACCCAAAACTGCTCATCTTGGACGAGAGTACCAGTGCCCTGGATGCTGAGAGCGAAAGATTGTTGCAGGAAGGCCTGGACAAGACGAAGGCAAAAGGCATTACAATCATCGCCATTGCGCATCGTCTACATACCATCAAGAAGGCTAACGTTATCTTCTTAATCGAGGCTGGAAGGTGTATTGACAGCGGTTCTCATGAAGAGTTGTTGGAGAGAAGTTTGGATTATCGTGAGTCGGTGATGCATCAAACGGTGGCCACAGATTAGGCAATATCGAAGATAGCCCCTTGAAAAGTTCGCATGTTCTTATGGCTGTATGTCTGCTTTCTGTGACCGTTCCTGTTGTGTGCCTCGAAGAAAGAGTTGTGTGGGTACGAGAGACCTCTCCTTCTCAGATCTGGTAATTCTCACAGATTGGTTGTTGCCACTTCGAAAATCTCTCGCCCTAGCTTCTTCTTTGACCTCTCAGCTCTCCAGAATCTCCTTCTGGCTTTCTTGTCGTCATTACTTCCCCCAAGAGAACGGACATCAGGTTACATGCGCAAAAGATTGCGTCCAAGGTGGGTGTGGTGAGTTTTTGTGACATGAAACAAACAACACAGTGACTATGCTTTGCTCCCGATAATCACTTCAACACACTCAATATGACTACCACCTCCTTACTCAAAGCTCAACAAGGCAACATTATCGTTTCATTTCGACACGACGATTCATACATAACTCATAGTCTGCTTGCCCGGGACAAAACAAAGAAAACACCAACCTCGATACTCGATCAAGCTCTTCGTCAACCACCTAAACACACTATCCCTCTGACAGATCGATATCAAACTTATACATACTTGACAATGTCCGATTTTGTCGTACGTACCAGTTGTTTTCACTTCATCACACTTGATCACACTTATTCCTGATCTTGATCTAACCAAGGCTTAGATTGACAGAAGACTCTTCGATGTGATCAAACTACGCAACACCAATCAATGCCTCAAGTACGAGACCTACAACCTCCTCCACTGAGGAAATATCTTGAAGCTCAAGGGCGATGCACATCTGGCCACCATCAAAGACTTGAAACTCGAGAACAATGGACATCTAGCCACCATTCGCGACTTGTCAAAGTTGGTCGAAGAGAATCTCCAATCAATGACGAACAGAGCAACAAGGTCAAGAGACTCGAAAAGCAGATTGTCAAGAGGGAAGCCTTCAAATAGATTCAGGAGGAGATTTTTGCGCTCGAAGCAAAGCGCACCGAGGTCGATGACGAGCTCAAGGAGCGCAAAAGAGAGTTAGAAATGGCTGAAGAAGACGATGACGAGGACAAGGACGGTAAGAGTGAAGGCCAATGAACATGGCTCAAACTACTTTCACACTTGTCTATATAGACAATGCTATGTCGAAGGGACCATGCTTCATCTCTATCCAATGAAACTTTGCTTTCTTACATCCTATCTTCGCTTAACTATTGCAATGCAACCAAAATATCTGTAGCCCGACATAGATTGAAATCTGATACCTCGACTAGAGAATAAGCGGTTAGATTCAGAGCTTGGCTTCTGCAATATCTGGCTGAATATTTGTCCATTCCACTATGTCACCGAAGTTCATCATTCTGTTAGATCCTTCAGGGCCAAATCTATCTTGCAGGTCTTCCCACTTGCGGTTTACAGCCGTCTCTGGACGCCAACGGAAGCTGTGTTTCATACGTGGATCCAGCTTGTCTTCCATGGCATCTGTAATACTGTGTATACGGTCAGCTACAAGTGTCAATACCACGAAATAGCATGGTAAACTCACAATNCCACCGATGACTGGGATGTGACAGAAGCCATGGCCCGAGGCACCACACCCAAGCACAAAGCTAGGATAATCAGGGTGCTTAGAGATCAGGAACGCGCGATTGGGAGTATCTGCGCACCAGCAGATACGAGCAAAACTGAATGGTCGGTCGGCAAGATGTGGCATTGTCTCGCGCAGGAAGCCTCTGGCTCTTTCTTCTGCCTCCTTGGGGATTTGATGCTTCGCAAACGGAACACTCGATCGTTGGGAGCTNGCCATGGGTCAGCTCGTGAGGTTACCAGCGATTATATCGACTTACTTCTGTGGATCGACCGTCCAGTTGCAGTAGCCGGGGTGCTCATCACACATCTTTAGCTCACCCTTGTCTTCGTCAGGCTCCATGAAAAAACCTCGCTCAATGTTGAATAGGACTGGCAGATTCTTGAATAGTTGTAGCTCTTCCTTCGTCATCTTGATGTGAGCTAGAGTCCAGGCTGTAGGACGCAGTTGATCTTTCATGTCGAAGATTATACCAGCATTTGCACCAGCACAAAGTATCGTGCGGTCTGCTCGGTGCTCGACGCCATCTAGTGTCTTGGCTCCTTTGACATCGCCGTCTTCGTAGATGAGACTTTCGACTTTGCCCTTTTCCTCACCGTTGATGAAAACCGCGCCAAGGCGTTCTGCTTCTCTTGCTGCGCTTTCCATGGACTTTCTTGCGTGTATCCAGCCGGAGCCCTTCTTCATCCACCAGCCCTTCCAGCCAGGAAACTCTCCCGTCAGAACACCTTTTGGCATCGTTGCCTGGAAGTCTTCTTTCGTCCTGAGNGGCAGCCAGCCCGTGCTCTCGCTAGGACCACTGGCAGAGTTCATATGAACGCGACCGGCCTCTGAACTTGCAGCGATGATACAGCCCGTTTCGTGGAAGTAGGGTTTGAAGACAGGATCCTGCAGCCATCCTTTGGTTGCTTCTTCAATCAAAGTATTTGCGACGAAGCGTTCGTCCGAGTCGGCACCAGCGGCGAAGGTTCCCAGCTCGAGAATCTTGTTGACGTCGTTACCAGCGGATATGGGTGACGGTACAGGGTAAGGATCGAGAAGAGTGACGTGCTTATATCCTCGCCTCTTCAGGTGCAGAGCTGTAGAAATTCCCCACGTCCCGGCTCCAATAATGAGAATGGTCGAGTCTGTCGAAAGTGGAACAATCATTGTGGTGGAAGTTGTGAGTAGGCTTCGGAGAAAGGAAACTTGTGAGGGGGGGCTTCAATACAAGGGAAGAACGTCTAGATGCTTTACTAATCACACAAGGAGAGACCTACATAGTGATACGCTGCCGCTTCACCTACAATGACCCGTCAGAAAGCACAATCGAGTCCAGGTGACGAAAGAGAAGGAACGAGGGAGTATCAATCAAGGGAAGGTCCAAGCAGAGCCCGGGCCACCCTTGGCGGCATTCCATGAGCGGACTCGTGCCTGCCTCGGCCCCCAACTTCACCCGCATCCTGTCGGTCTATCTTGCCCCAGAGTCATCACAAGACAAGGCCTGACTTGGACCTTCCTGGGAATCCCAATCGCCCTATCACTTCACCGGATACGGCATCATGTTCAAGGCCCACATGCTCTAAACCATGCCTCGCAAGCGCGTGATATCTCAAGAGCCTCCGAAACGACGGGTCAGAACGGGCTGCGACAGATGTCGCGCTCGCAAAGTTCGTTGTGACGAGCAGAAACCGACCTGCGGCCAATGTAGTGCCAAGGGTTTCGATTGTCAGACAAGCATCAAGCTTAAATGGGAACAAGACTATACCAGTGCTGGACGAGCATTCGGTAGAGCTGGCTTGTGGAGCAAGAAGGCTGCTGAGAAGTCGAATGCTGCATCGCCATGTATACATGTCACCGAGGACGAGGTGTCCTGGATACGCATCCCTCTGATTTCTTCATACAGCTTTGTCAACGCTACGGTAGGAAACATTGAACAGCTCACTACTTTGGAGAACCTCGCAATAGACGCTGCGCCAGTATTGGATGTCATTCATACCAATGATCGCGACGATACTTCAAGCACTGCTTCTTTGTCACCATGGCTCTCTGCTAGACAGCCCGCGTTCTTGCCTCGTCAACACTTCATACCATCCTCGTTGTCGATGCTGCCTGACCTCCCTAGCGCGATGCACTCCAGCCTGCTATCATACTACCTGGAAAAGATATGTCCAATCACTGTCCCGAGTTCCGTCAACGAATCTCCTTTTGCCAACTTGATCCTTCCATTCTCCATCTCATCCTCTCCTGCTGTCTTAGAATCTCTGCTTGCTCTCGCCGCTTGCCACAGATCGAAGAAGGACATCGCTTTTCGTGCCACCTCGTTGAGGCTAGGAGACAATGTCCTTCGCACCCTACGTGGAAGGCTTGGTACTGAGGACCCCCTGGAAGTTGCGATGGACCCTGAAACACTGGTCATCATGATGATCTTGTGTCAGTACGAGATCATCAACGAGTGCGACAAACGCTGGGTCGTTCATCTGAAAGGAGCTCGAGATCTAATACGAGTCAGAAGAAACGCTCAGCTCTATCTTGCAGCTGGACAGTCCTCTGTTGATCTCGTCGAGTTTGCTGAGAAGTACTTCGCTTTCCAGGATGTCATTGGGCGAACGGCATGCGGCGAAGAGCCGATCTTCGGTATTGACTTTTGGACATCTCGAGGCGAGGATACTGATGCCTGGCTCGGCTGCTCTGCTGGTCTTGTCTCAATCTTATGCGAAATCACTGAATTGAGCCGCCAACATCGATCACGACCTGGCGTAAGCCTTCTACCCGAGTTTCAGTTCAAAGCAGCCTCTTTAGAGCGCCGGCTCTGTAGTCTAAGGCAGAGAGTCTTGAACGAAGAAGACGACCTTCTACAACTGTCTGCCGAGTTGAAGAGACTGGCAGCCGAACTCTATCTGCACTGTGCTCTCAACGGTGCGACCCCAGCGATGCCCCTTGTTGTCAGGCTCGTACAACAAATCCTTCATCTAGTCTCAGTTCTCCTTGAACATGGGGTGCTTGCTGGCTTGAGCTGGCCCCTGTTTGTTGCAGCTGTCGAGCTTGATCCAATGGAGGACCTCGAGTGGGCTGAAAGGCAAGACCTACCCGATGAGGTGCCAAACTATGCTCGGCCATTTGTCCTATATGCTTTGAGCCGCTTGGCTGGATCAAATGCTATTGCCAACATAGCCAAAACGAGGTCTGTCATCGAGAGGATATGGCTGACAAGAAGTCATGATGAGATTTCTGACACACAGTTGGAAGGGCTTGAGAAGGGTCAGAATGACTGGGAACGCTACGTCGCTCCACTCTGTGGTGGTTTGAGTCTTGCTTGAGGTCGAGCTTGTCACCACGCGATTCAAGACACTTGATCTTACTACCTCGGGCGCCTCATCAGATTTGTGTCTGGTTTACATCTGCATTTCTGATCTGAAACACATGCAGATTTTGGATTGTGTATTGCACTATTGTCCCAGTTCTGACATTCGATGTTGCAATGCTATACTGGATATCATTGATACCAAGCCACATCAGCGTTATACGCTCATGTACACAGTTGGCTGGCCTTACAGCGCATTCCGGCTGCACGTTCGACCTCAATGGCGTTGATGTTATCAAATTTGTATCTCTAACCCAGTTATAGAAACGGCTGGCTGTGGGCGTGTGATGCGGGTTGATGTTCGGGGCTAAAGCTTATCGTTTATGCGGCTGCAGCTCCCATTGGCTTCGCTTGTACCTTCGACTTCTCCGCATTAACGTCCCTCTATCAGTGGGACATCGCTACCTCGACCGTAGGTATACGTATCAGAAGATACTGGACATACGATACTCATCGAGACTGTCAGCGAAGATAAAAGGCGTACCTTCCCTCGATGACAATGCTCGCAATACTGGACAAACCAAACTACTTTCCTGTTTCGACAAATATCCAGAATGACAAATTCAGACTATGGTCTCGATGTGCCTGGTACTCAACAGCTTGTTGATGGTAAGCAAATTCGCGTATCGCACGGAAACCTTTCTCACAACCTTCCAGTAAACCACGACGTTGATGCCGTTCACCAAAGCGACTCTGATATCCTCCTTATCCCACGCCCAACGGAGTGCGGCTCTGATCCTCTCACATGGCCTAGATGGAGGAAGTGTTACCAGCTCTTCTTGCTTGCGCTGTACGCATGCGCATTCTCCTTTGGAGAGAACACTCTGGGTGCCGCATGGACGACGGTATCTGAAGATACTGGCGTTTCGTTGGTTAACATGAATGGCGGCAGTGCGCTCAACTATCTGCTTCTCGGCCTCTGCAACGTCTGGTGGATCAGCACTGCCAACAAAGTGGGACGGAGACCCGTCTTCCTTTTTACCACGCTTATCTGTTGTTTGGCTGGCGTATGGCAGGGCCGCGTTCATGGTACCGCACAATGGTTTCTATCCAATGTCTTGAACGGTGTCGGTACAAGTGCCTACCAAGCCGTGATTCAGCTGTCAGTCTTCGATATGTTCTTCGCTCATGAGCGGGGTATGGTAAGCTGCTATGTGTTCCATACTCAAGCATAAGAAACATGCTAATCGTACGTTTACCCTTAGATGCTGTCCTTCTACCTGTTCGGCCAGCAACTCGGCAGCATTCTTGGCCTCATTACTGGAGGGATCATCTCGGATCATCTCGGCTGGAGGTAAGCTTTGGTCTGATAATACGAGCATATTTACTGACATCGTCTCTCANGATGGACCCAGTATTGCGTTGCGATGATAGATGCGGGTGTCTTAGTCCTCCTGACTTTCACCTTCGAGGAAACGCTATTCCCAAGGTTCATCTTCGAGAGTATCCAAGGAGTTCTTCCAGTCACTGAGAGTCGAGCCAGCCCTGTGATGTCTAGCACTGACAACAAAGGCTGTGTGAAGAAAGATCTCAATCGCGTTACCACCGTACAGTCCGAGGGTCATAACATACAGCAGCGCGACTTTCCTCAACGTACCTATGCTCAGAAATTGAAGCTCTGGGTGTACTTTCCAGAAGACAAAACGACGTACTTTCAGTACTTTCGTCGACCGTTCTCTCTTTTCTTCTTCCCCAATGTACGTATATACGGGTGCAGACAACACAAGTTAACAACCACCATATGGTGTTTCCATTCCGCCTTAGGAAACAGAGCCTCCATGCATTGCAGGGTCTTATTCAAGTTCAAATCAGCCTCTTTTGAAAGCCTTCCAGCGTTCGCGAAAAGGCAGGCTCTCAGTGGAGGCCTCCAGATTCTTGGATAGCACTCTGCAATCCGACGGTGGTTGTTGTAGTGCACCAACTCTTACATGAAAACATGCTAAATGTGCCTCGATTTACAGGTTGTCATCTCTGGTTGCATATTTGCGTTCGGCTGTACAGGTAGAGTGGTTTTGACTCGGCATCCGCGAGTCACCTATACTAATTATTTGACAGCCGGCATTGTCTCTTTCAATACAATTTCGGAGATCTTGACTCAACCGCCCTACGACTGGAGCACCTCATCGACTGGCCTCGTCTTTCTTGCTGCTCTGGTCGGTAATTTTGTAGGATGGCTGACAGGCGTTATGTCCGATCGGATAGTGCTCTACCTTTCACGCAAGAACCGGGGTGTGAAAGAGCCTGAGATGCGTCTTTGGACCTTGTGCTTCTCTTTCGTTTACGCAGCGATCGGATACTTCATGTATGGATTTGGAGCCCAAGCAGGGGCACACTGGATGACAATTGCCTTCGGGGTAGGCTGTATGATTGCTCACCAGGTCTCAGCTTGTTCCATCGCCACGACATACGCCATGGAATGCTTCCCGGGGATTGGTGGAGAATTGGTTGTGGTCCTTGCAATATGCTCGTCCTGCATCAATTTCGCCATCAGTTATAGCGTGCAGCCATTCATTGAGGCAGCTGGCTACGGATACGCCTTTCTCTTCTTCGGTCTGTGCGTTCTTTGCTCCATGCTTGCCGCGATCCCCATGAGCATATATGGAAAGTCTTGGAGACGTAGATGTGCCCCCAAGTGGAGAGAGTGGCTGTCGCAGAGACAAGACTGATCCGTTCTCGACCGCTTTTAGGCTGTGGGAGGCATCTCTTTGCTAGCTTGATGTCAGTTGCTTAAATCCAGAACTTGCTGGTTATTTATCCAGATTTCTTGATCTTGCCTTGACGGCCGAGAGTCTGTGGCACCTTCCGAAAGTGAACAACAAGCACGGTGTTGATCTGTTCCGTATGCTTGTCGATCATGATCCTAAGGATGCTGCATGATGGAGTGGAGATCAGCAAAACTCAGGCTAAATATTGCATGTGCAGATGTCCGGTCTCCATTTTCCTATGACAAACTAAGCTGAAGATGAGCTGAGAAAGCAAGGCAGCAGTCAGGTTTCTTTGACAGTTTTAGGAGTGCATGGGTTGTCAATGTCTTCCCCTCATACCCCTCACCCCACATTGCATTTGCCATTTGCGGGGTAACTCAAAAGATGACCTCAGTCTTTACAGCAACACTGAACTCAGAAAAACGGTTTGTCGTGAACTTGACCATGTTGCAGGGGAACGTATCCCAGGACAAGGTCATTACCAAAGTCTTGGACTACTCTCCTATGTGGATCCACCGACTTCCATACGGTTAGTGGGCTCGTATTGTCCAGGTGCTGTATCCCGGAAGAATCATCAAAGTTTCCGCAGCTCATCAAGAGATGCAGAGTATACATGCACGGCCCTTCGGTCATGCAAGCTGCGACTACGGCTCAGAGGGACATGGGGGTGCCAGCGTAGTTCATGGATAATATACGTACAGTTGATCAGCAAGATGTTGCCTGATGATCATGGTAGAACGGGACAAGAATATTAGGCGAAGTATAAGAAGGCAAGTGTCACCATCAATTGGAAACACTATCGACACATCGGATTTACGTCTCAAGTCAAATCTCTGGAAACAAGATGTTGCTCTCGAGTGTTGTTCTGGCGGCCTTTGTTGCCACAGCCAATGCTTTGGACCTTCAAGTCGCTGCTAGTGGTGGTAATGCTACATCTCCTCTGCAGTATGGATTGATGTTCGAGGTACTACTTTCTGCCTATACGGTTCTTGAATATCGACTGATCATTGCAGNNGACATCAACTTCTCGGGAGACGGCGGCCTCTATGCTGAGCTCATCCGTAACAGAGCATTCCAAGGCAGCACTGTGCATCCATCAAGCCTTCTCGCTTACAGCTCTGTGNGGGGCTCATCTCTGTCGCTGAAGAACTTGTCTCAGCCCATCTCCAGCGCTCTTCCTACCTCCATGAATGTTGCTACTGCCGATGCCACCAGCAACGAGGTCGGTTTTTCGAACACGTAAGGATGTTGAAGTACATGGTTAGGCCAATCACTAACACACAATAGTGGATACTGGGGCATTGGTGTCCAAGTCCAAGATTACACTGGCTCCTTCTGGGTCAAGGGATCATATGCTGGAAAATTCACCACCTCGTTGAAGTCTGACATCAACAACGAGACTTTTGCTACCGCACAGGTCCAGTCGCACGCCTCTCCCAACGAGTGGGTACAGCACAACTATACCCTCACCCCTACCTCTACAGCACCAAACTCAAACAACTCGTTCTACCTTACTTTCGACAAGTCTGGGGTGTCTGGCGGCTCGCTAGACTTCACTCTTATCAGTCTGTTCCCTCCTACCTACAAGAACAGAGCCAATGGTCTGCGTGTGGACCTCGCCGAAGCCTTGAAGGCGCTGAATGGAAAGTTTCTTCGATTCCCCGGAGGTAAGTGAAATTGTCAAGATTTTCAGTAGACCACAAGCTGATACGATACAGGCAACAACCTCGAAGGAGATGATCCGCCGTATTTATGGAAGTGGAATGAGACCATCGGCCCTCTTAAGGACAGACCTGGTAGAGCTGGCACTTGGGGCTNNGTGAGTAAGACCATACCCGATCGCAAGAAACATGCTAATCATTCCGTTATTACAGACGAAAACACGGATGGACTTGGTCTCATTGAGTATCTACACTGGTGTGAGGATCTCGAGCTTGAGCCTATACTTGCTGTATGGGATGGATTTTACCTCAGTGGCCCGGTCACCCCTCAGGACCAGCTTGAACCGTTTATTCAATTTGCTCTGGATGAGTTGGAATTCCTGATGGGCTCGACTAGCACCAAGTACGGAGCTCTGAGAGCATCGTTGGGATACCCTCAGCCATTCCAGATCAACTACGTCGAGGTCGGTTTTTTTTTCTTCTTTCTTTCTTTCTTTCTTTCTTTCTTTCTTTCTTTCTTTCTTTCTTTCTTTCTTTCTTTCTTTCTTTCTTTCTTTCTTTCTTTCTTTCTTTCTTCCTTCTCCTTCTTCTTCTTCGCCAGTATGACTGATTACTGATGGTGGAAACAGATTGGCAACGAAGATAACCTCGGCGGCGGTAATGCCAGTTACTCTGCGTACCGTCTACCCATGTTCACCAGCGCCATCAAGGCAGTCTACCCTGACATCACCATCATCGCGTCTACTCCCACTGTCGACCCCATCCCTGACCACATTTCCCTCGACTACCACGAATATTCCAGACCCGACAACTTTGTTAGAGAGTTCAACTTGTTTGATCATTACAACAGAAGCCATCCCATCTTGATCGGTAAGTTGGTTATTTGATGTTCTTGTGAATAGAGCTGATGAGAACACANNGGCGAATACGCTGTCATCGAGGGCAACAATGCCTCCATGGCTGCAGTAGACTGGAGCTCCAACAGAGAAAGACTGGCCTTCCCATCCTGGGAGGGCAGTGTTGCCGAAGCCGTCTTCCTGCTCGGAGCCGAACGCAACTCGGACATGATCATTGGCGCCTCGTATGCACCAACACTGCAAAACCTGAACAGCTACCAGTGGACACCCGACATGATCAGCTTCACTGCCGATCCCACAAAGGACGTCCTGTCGACTTCGTGGCACATGCTCAATCTCATGGCTAACCACATTGTAACTGAGACTCTGCCTATCACTGGCGGCAACTTTGGACCTGCATACTATGTGGCTGGATACAACAACCAAACGGGATCGCACATGCTCAAGACGGCCGTGTACAATGCTACTAGCGATGTCCCTGTCTCGGTGTCGTTCAAGGGCGTGTCTGCAGGCACCAAGGCCACTTTGTCAGTTCTGACTGCACCAAGTCATGACAGCTACAACGCTCCTGGCAAGGCACAGGTTGTGCAGTCGGCAAACACAACCATTACAGCATCTGCTGATGGCACGTTCAAGTTCGAGCTCCCCAACCTTAGTGTTAGTGTGCTGGAGGTGCAGGGCAGAGCAACGTATTGGGCAGGCGCATGGGGCGGCCACCGCGGCTCTTGGGGTCATGGCGGATTTGGCGGATGGACTCCTAGCTTTGGCAGCTGGGGCTGGAACAACTGGAAGGGCACTGGACACAACAAGAGAGACATCCCCAAGGGCTACAAGGAGGTTGTCTTCTAGATCAGGACAAGGCTATGTAAGACAGCTATGGCATGACGCATGAATAGGATAATCGGCACGAGACCAAGAATTGAAATCAAAGTTGCAGATTGAGTGGACCGAAGTTCGGTGTTTTGTGGTATGGAAAGTGGTGGAGTAAGAACCGAGAAGAAGGAGCTGCTCTGCCGAGTGCACGGAGCACATCCGATGGTCAGAGGAAACCCCGCCATGCCTCCACAGAATGAGCTCCATCTTGTACAGTTTTTCTGGTGCAACATCCGAAGCAGTCTCTCACGGTATAAACGATCCGAGAGAATGAGGGGCACTGCGGAGCAAGGCAGATGATTGCTGACCTTTCGGGTGTCGAAGAGGTGGCCAAAGGAGCAGGTTGCAAGAGCAGTTGGTCGCCAAGGATGCTTGAAGAAGGTTAAAGGTACACACTTCTCGGATGAGCGTCACACGATGCCCCTCGTCTGCTGCATGATATAAGTAGACGAGACATCCCGTGAGTTGTCGAGCTCAGCCAACTGTGTCTCGACCTCTGCATAACCCTCACTCTAGTCGATCCATTGATCAGTCATTCACAATGGGTCTAGTCGAGCTCCTGTTCACACCATATACGCTTCTCGCTATTCCGATCCTCTTTTACATCTTGCCTTTTTTGCGTAACTGGTCCATCCGCGATGTGCCCTCGCCCTTCCCAGCCGCCTTCACCAACCTATGGCTCATGTATCAATGCCGCCGTGGCAGACGATACCTCGCCGTCGATGAAGCACACAAGACGCACGGCAAGTTCGTGCGCATCCAACCTCACCACGTCTCCATCGCAGATCCGGCAGCCATCCCCATCGTCTACGGCCACGGCACCGGTTTCCTGAAGAGCGAATACTATGATGCTTTTGTTAGCATTCAGCGTGGTCTCTTCAACACGCGCGACAGAGCCGAGCACACCAGAAAGAGAAAGACTGTTTCGCATACCTTTAGCTCCAAGAGCATTGGCCAGTTTGAGCAGTATATGCATCACAACTTGGAACTGCTGGTAGAGCAGTGGAATAAGATGTCCAAACTTGCTGATGGCAAGTACGCCAAGATGGACGCTTTGAACTGGTTCAACTACACGGCCTTTGACAGTAAGCTTGTCCTCTCTATTACAGATGACCATGTATGCTGACACACCCCAGTCATTGGTGACTTGGCCTTTGGAGCACCCTTTGGCATGCTCGAGAAGGGTGCCGACATTGCCGAGATCCGCGAATCGCCAGACGCACCTCCCAAATTCGCACCCGCCATCGAGGTGCTCAACCGCAGAGGCGAGGTCTCGGGTACCATTGGCTGCTGGCCCTGGATCAAGCCCTACGCCGCCTACCTGCCCGACCCTTTCTTCACCAAAGGCGTGCAAGCCGTCCAGAACCTCGCCGGTATCGCCGTCGCCCGCGTAAAGCAGCGTCTCGACAATGCCGACAACATCGACCGCGTGGACTTGCTGGCTCGCTTGATGGAAGGCAAAGACGAACATGGCAACAGTCTGGGTCGTCAAGAATTGACCGCTGAAGCACTGACTCAACTTATTGCCGGCAGCGACACTACTTCAAACACCTCTTGCGCGCTGCTGTATCACTGTCTAGCATCTCCCCATGTGGTCAAGAAGCTGCAGCAAGAACTCGATGCCGCTATCCCATCTGGCACTGCAGTACCTGTGTTTGAACAAGTGCGCGATCTGCCCTATCTCGATGCCGTCATCAAGGAGACGATGCGTATCCACAGCACTTCTTCACTAGGTCTACCTCGCGTTGTCCCTGCAGGCGGCGCCGACGTCTGCGGCAGACACTTTCCTGCCGAAACCGTCCTCAGCGTTCCCGCCTACACCATGCACCACAGCAAACAAATATGGGGTCCGGATGCCGACGACTTCAAACCCGAACGATGGGAAAAAGTCACCGAGACGTAAGTTTTCCTTTACCTCCTTCGTATCTTCAAACGATCATACATGCCAACAGTCGCAAAACAGTNNCAAAAATCAGCCTTTATCCCATTTAGCTATGGCCCCCGCGCGTGTGTCGGCCGCAATGTTGCAGAGATGGAACTGGCACTTATTGTGGCGACCGTCTTCCACAACTATGACTTTGAGCTGTATCAAAAGGAACTCGAGACCAGAGAGGGCTTCTTGAGGAAGCCGCTTGAGTGTTGGGTCGGTATGAAGAGGAGGGCTACTGCTGCTTAGATTGTGCTCTGTTTTTGAGTACGAGTTTTTGGAAGCTCTTATTGTACAGTCTGTGTAATTTTTTGATTTTCTTTTTGCTGTATTTGAACGTAACCACGAATATGAACGATATGATTCGGATGATAGGGATATTGTAAAACGCAATTCGAACCACAGGAGGCCACACATTCCATTAGGATCATACAGGAATACTACGCAGACACGCCATCACCATCCAATGTGATTCGAGCAGTATACAACCCCCTCCTGCCACCACCAATCTGCGCGCCAAACACAAAATGGCTATTGTCAAAAGCAACATCTGCGCCTCCAGGACCCCTGAGCCCTGCATATACAGTACTGAACAGAGTACCCTGTTTCGTAAAGCCAAAAGTTGGAGATGAGCTTGTCGCATATGCCACATTGTAGTTTGGGGTGGTGAAGCAGTTGGATGAGTAGAAGAGGTAGTATGTTTTGCCCGAGTGGATCATGCTGGGGCCTTCGACTAGGGGGCCGTCTTCTGGGGAGTCATTGGTGATGAGTTGGGACGTGTTGCCCATCTTGGTTACGCCATCGCTGTCGACTTGTTGGATGAGGATGGGGGTGGAGACGATTGGTTCGATTCCGTTATTGCAGACTCCGCCGTGGCCGAGTGAGTTGGCATCGATTTTGTATAGGACGTACCGTGTTCCATCTGCGTCGCGGAAGCCTGATGCGTCGATGGCGCCTCCTTGGTCAGCTGGACAGGCGAAAGTCTCCTCGGAGGGTACATATGGGCCATCGATCGTGTCACTGATCACAGTGCCGATACAATGGGGAGCATTGGTGCGGTATGTGGGAGCGCTGAAGTACAAAAGGAATGTGCCATCATCCTACTCCTGCATCAGAACTGAGTACTTTACAGCCGAAATTAAAACACATATACCAAGNTGATTGATATCCGGAGCCCAGACATGATTCTTGGAAGTATCCACCCAGCTCGGCAAGTAAGGCAGCATATCTTTGCCTGGCTGTAGTGCCCACGTCTTAAAATCGGTCGAGGTTGCAATCTGAATGTGTGTGCTTTTGTAGTCACACAGCGATTGTCCGGCAAAAGCATACCAGGTGTCGCCGACCCTGAGGATTGAAGGATCTGGGAAATCTGTTGTGATGTGAGGGCCGGACTCGGATCGTTTTCGTAGTAGAGGAGTTGTGGAAGAAAGTTGCAGGTATGCTATCCATGCTAGAACGAGCGATGCTTTGGATAGGTACATGGTTGCTGTGATGTCAAGATAGATATAGATGTAAGGGTGAATGATGTGAAAATCGATAGGGATTAAGCTTAGCAACAATAAACTAAACACGAGGCAAGAGCGAAGCATGATATACCCATAAACAAATCGAGATATACTCGAGTCACTGCACCAGCATGACGATAAAGCATACAATGCCATCATAAGATGCCATCGACATGTATACTCCAAGCGAGGTTTAATAGCATGTGAAAACTGGGTCTTACTATATACAGCACGTAGTATAGTTCTTGCAGTGCGGAGAGAACATACCACTCGATCTACGGCAGATCAACAAGCTTCAATGTGATTCTTCTCCGAACGGCCATGGTACGTGTGAGACGAGGCGTTTTATCAAGCTGAGAAAGCTGACATGTCTGCTCTTCCGCTGGCATGTCTCTTCGTCCGCTGGCATACGCGAGTCCAAGTCCCTTATCTTATGGCGTCAAGGCAATGTGTCCATCGCGTGCTCAGCATGCGTCGAAGTCAGTCATCATGTGCAAGCAGGAAGACGATCTCTGCCGGTTTGATTCACGCGACCCGACGAAGAGGGTTGTGGTTTCCATGATATGACTAAGGTCGACGCGTGCCGCCATAGTTCAAGCATCTTGCAACATTCCTAGAACTGAGCTGTAATTCTGTGGTTTATGAACAAAAAACAATTGATGGATGGCTCTGCGAGATGGCTTGCCCTGAGAGCCCCGCACCGGGCCCGCATCGCAGCGGCCTTCGCGCCAGGCCAGCCTCGGGTCGGCATATGACGTGGGTCAATTTAGCCTTTGAGTGACACGAGAGCTGCGCTTCGGTCGCCGACTTCTTGCTCGCTGCATCTCTCTCCGGCTGTCACACCTCAGCACGAGAGCAACGACGGTCAATCAATATCGCCGAGCTTCCACAGCACCTTCCAAACCAAGCCACGTGTATTCAGTCCAGTATGGGTGTCTTCAAGACATTGTCAAAGGTTGCCGCGTACGGCACAGTAGCAGGAGCCGGAGGATGGGCTCTCTACACAAGAAAGTCCAACTTTGTCCCCCTGTCACCCTCGGATTACATTTACAACACGACCTTCTATGCTCGCAACAACCCCGAGAGAAACCCTGCAACAGCCGACTTGTGTGTGCGCAGGGTACCGCTGAGTCAGATCAAGCCCGAGTACCTTGAGAAGGAAGGAAAGCTGGTCGAGAAGTTCTGCGCCGGCGTGTGGGGAGGCCTCGGTGAGTGCATTTGTTTTGTTGCCTACCACTGCTTCGGTGCCTGATGGCTCTACANNGGATACGCATACCAGCGCCAATACCTCGAGAAGAAATACCGCGATGCCGACACCGAGTCTCAAGTGTGGGACACCAAGGCCCTCTTAGAATCCGAATACCCCGTTGGCACACAGATCACAGACCACTTCGAGGTCCTCACCAAGACCCCCGAGTCAATCATTGTGCGCTGTGGTGACTCTCCTCGCAAGATGGAGGTCAGACCTAGCGATGGGCTGTTTGAGATGAGGGCAGAGATCAAGCAAGACGAGGGTGTTGCCGAGTTCCAGCTGAAGAGTGTCTTCTACCAGGGTCTCGGTAAGGCGACTGGCAAGCCGATGCCTGCACACATCGAGTTCCTGCACAGACAATATACCAAGTTGTGGATGGAGACTGCCATCAGCAATGTCACGCGATGAGGAAGTTAGCTTGTCCTACGATGAGAGACGGGAACAATGTTAGAGAAAGAATTTGCATAATAAGCTGTGTATGAGGCAGGCATATGTATAGATATCGTCCAAACGAAGAAAGAGCGACTGGCTGCGTTTGCACGTGAAAGCGCAAGCAAAAGCGCGTCATGGGTCAAAGCTTCAGACTGGTTGTTGCCTGAGGTCTGGACCTTCAAGGTTCCTTCCTATTTGACATTCAAATCATGACTTGGCCATGAGTTGAGAAAGATCCCGTCCAAAGCTCGACGACCAATGCGACTACCATCAACCCACATCTGCAGGCAGCATGGCGCAAGGCCGGCCCCGCCGCAAGAAGACGGTCGTCTCTTCTTCGGATGATGAAGACGACCCGGTGCCCACTGTCAACGTAGAAGAGACGCTTGTGCAACATGAGGCCACCGACGGCACCAAAGACAAGCCTATCAGGTCATCACGATCCAAAGCGGGTGCCTCAGCCTCGACCTCTGCCACCACCAAAGTCAACAGAACTCCCTCCAAATCTCGACAGAGTCGTCCGCCCAACAAGTCTGCTATCGAAGCACAGCCCAAACGTGCGAACAAGTCCATCTTTTCCTTCTTCAACCCAACTACACAACGCCAACAGGCTTCGTCTCAGGACTCGACAAGCTCACCAGCCTCTGCCAACCCCAACCCGAGTGAACTAGACATTGAGGATGACATCTCAGCCGACGAGGCCACACTGTCTAAGCCTTCCCAGATCGCCCAGACCTTGCGCAAGAGGACGCTCGTTAGGGATGACATTGGGGACAGCTATCGCGATGGCCCACCAGCAGCCTCGCAAAAGTTTCGCAAAGTCTCTGCCGGGACTAGAGCTCCCACAACTTCGACACCCGCCCCGTCCGACACACGGCCATGGACCGAACGCTTCGCTCCTATCGACTTGTCCGAGCTTGCTGTGCACAAGCGAAAGATCACAGATGTTCGCAATGTCCTTGAATCTGCTCTGTCAGATCGTTCAAGGCCGAGATTGATCGTTCTAAAAGGTGCAGCCGGAACTGCCAAAACAACTACTGTCAGTCTTTTAGCGAAAGAGATGGGTATTGGCATAATGGAATGGAAGAGTCCAGTTGGCACCGACGCTGCGAGCAGTGCTTTCACATCCTATTCGAGCCAGTTCGAAGACTTTGTCTTTAGAAGCGGCAAGTTCGCTGGTCTGGACCTGGTTCGAAGTGATGGTACAGTTCAGCCAGCTCCTGCCACTAAGGACCACGCCAAACAGATTATGCTCGTCGAGGAGTTCCCCAACACTTTCGCCAAGTCTTCTCCTGCTCTGCAGATCTTCAGAAACACCATCTTGCAATACCTGGCTGCACCGACATCATCAAATCCCACCCCCATGGTCATGATCATCTCGGAAGCTCTGCTTTCGACCACAACTGCATCTGCCGACAGTTTCACTGCTCATCGTTTGCTAGGGCCTGCCATTCTGAATCACCCACAGACTGCCCCAATCGAGTTCAACAACATTGCTCCCACCATCCTGACGAAAGCCTTGGATACGATCATCGTAAAAGAATCTCGCAAGTCAGGTAGACGCTTTGCACCTGGTCCTGCTGTGCTCAAACATCTGGCAGAAACTGGTGATATTCGGAGTGCTGTATCTTCTCTCGAATTTCTGTGTCTTGCTGGCGATGACAGCGGTGCTTGGTCGTCAAAGGTCGCTTTTACAAAGCCCAAAGGTCGTGCAGAAGCCGCCTTGACTAAGCAAGAACAAGAAGCCTTGAAGTTGATCAGCAATCGCGAAAGTAGTCTTGGAATATTCCATGCTGTTGGTAGAGTCGTGTACAACAAACGTATCGACCCCTCCAGCCCTGTCCCTCAACCTCCGACATACTTTCCACAACATCGCAAACCAAAGATTCCCGAACATGATCCTAACAATCTGATTGATGAAGTTGGCACCGATACGTCAACTTTCATTGGTGCGCTGCAGGAGAACTATGCCTTGTCTTGCTCGTCTTCATCGAGTGAAGATGTAATGGACTCACTGAATGGCTGCATCGATGCTTTGTCAGATTTCGACATGCTATCCTGCGATCGCTTCGGTTTCGGAACACGGATGTCCTCAGGCTCTGCCCAGGACAATCTCCGTCAAGATGATATCTCTTTCCAGACTGCTGTTCGTGGTGTCTTGTTCTGGCTACCAACTCCAGTAAACAGGCTGGCGGGCCTGCCTCGAGATGCCAAGCGTGGTGATGAGTTCAAAATGTTCTTTCCCTCAAGCTCTAAGTTGTGGAAAGAGAAGGAGGAATTTGAGGCCACGTTTGAGACTGTGGTATCAACAATGCACAAGCTGGCTGTAGGTTCAAGTTCCGACTCTACGTCTGCAAATACAGAAGGTGTAGCAGCGTGGAAACGCCAGCAGACACAGGACGTGCCTTCAGACGAGCAGAATGCCGACTCAGACTCCCCTTCAACCTCGAACACCCTTCTCAGCTCTGGCGCAAGAACAGAGTTACTGCTTGAACGCCTTCCTTACGCTTCCCGAATACTGCCCTGCCACAAGGACGCACCACCCTCATTCATTACGGGTGTCAACACTTTGACTCGCATCTCTGCTCTGAACCCTTCGTCCACCGTTCTCGATGATGCAGCTTTGGATGTGATTGAGGATAACGATGCTGACTTGCAGCAGTCGGAGTGGACCGATCGTCCAGACCCGGAATTTGCCGCCACGAAGAGAGGCAAGAAACAGCAAAGCCAGAAGGGCGAATTTGAGGGAGGTGGTCTACATATACCCGTGGAGCATGCGGTAGAGAAACTTGTGCTCAGTGATGACGATATCGAGGATTGATACCCGTGAACGAGCAGAATATATCTTGTACACTGTTATAAATAAGCATTCTCATGGACCGAAGGCTGCTGCTGCTGCCTGTGTCTTGCCTACTTACAATGTTCAATGGACGCCTGCTTTGTATGGATACTCACCACCATCATCAGTAGAACTGCCTCTCGGCACAACAGTCAGGAAGCTAAAGAATGTTCGAAATGTATTACATCAAGGAGAATTACGTATCCATCATGAATCGCTTGCCATCAACACTTTGCTTCTATGCCTTCCATCATGTGCCTCCAGCTGAGCTCTTTCACTATATTCCAAAAGTCTTCAGAGCTCATCCCAGTAATGGTAGTACTGAGGAGCAGGCGCATCAGTCACCTTCAACACCATCTCGAAATCATAACAGTCCAATCCATACTCAATTCTCCTTCCGGCTTCGACAGAGAAGAAATCGCCAACCGCACAAGCACTCCACTCATCAGTCATGGGAGTCCCGCGCGAACCTCCATACCTGCCCGTATTGACCAATTTAAGCTGACTATCCGTCGTGTTGCCCAACACAAATGTCACGGCGCCCGTCCCATACGCAGGCAAGAAGCCACCGTCAACATCTTTGCCATCCACAACCGTAGACCCCAGCGCCCATTTCGCATGGGACAGAAACGGGGACCACTTGGCCAGAAACAGGGATTGGCCGCCGGTGCCGGTGATGCCCATCCACCAGTTGTCGCCCTCTGTGGGACCGGAGATTATGGTTGTGTTCCAGAGGTCTGGGTTGCTGCCGTAGGGGCCCACGGCAGTGGTGTCTTTGTCGATGAAGAAGCGGCCGTCGTGGGCGGAGACGGGCTTGTTGTGGATGGCGGGTATGTTGGGGCACCAGGCGTAAGGTATATATGCTTGAGCGGCCATTATGGTGGGAGTAAGAGCTGCAAGAGCTGTGAAGGTGGTGCTGCCGAACTTCATGGTTTTTTTTGTTTTTCTTTTGATCGATACTTAAAACGAATGTGGTCTTTTTGATGATTCTTGCTGAGGGGGGAGAGTTAAAGTTGATGGCGACGAGAGTAATGTCTTTATACCCTTCCCCATCATATTTCACAGTGGAACCTGATCTAGTTACACGAGCAGGATTGCAATAGTCGAGTCTGCCTGCAGATGTGTGAAGCACGGTCTCGTGAAGGCTCGACTTATTGTGGATGCGGTATAGCTATTTTTAACCCGGCTTGCCGAACGTCTTGGGAAAGGAGCTTCCCAATAGCGTAGGACTTATACGGTCGGGCGCGACGCCTGATGTGCATACCTATCAAGAGACGCATTCGCGATATGGCTGACTCGTCATGTTGGAAAAGGCTCGAGAGCGAACAACATCAATTGTTACTGCTGGGATGGGAAAGAACGACAGAGCAAAGCTTCGGTTTGTCTCAAGCTTTCGATCAAGTGGATTGCGCACTGCCCTAACGACAGTTCAGCCAAGAAGATTGACCGGTCCGGCAGCACCGCTATTGATTACTAGGCAGATATCTGATCATTCTGCTATATATAGTTGAGTGAAGACTAGTTCTCATCGTGTGAGGACTCGCTTTGTCGTGTATTAAAGGGAAAGCCTGGGATGCTGCCACATACAGGTAGACCAAACTGTGTACTGCAACTGAATTAAAACAACCACGACCCCTGCCATTAGACTTCGTACCTCATCCTCATCATTCTATCCTCATCAACGTCAAACGTAGCTACTAAAAAAACATCCAAACTACTGCAAAGTGACCTCGCACTTATGTCCCTTGGGCACAATGACAAAGTAATTCTCCAAGTCCATGCAATCCGCGGCCATGCTCGGAGCGATACGCATACCTCTACACTCACGAAAGAGAAAGGCAGTAGCATATCTCAATTCCATCCAAGCAAGATTGATACCGAGACAGCTGTACGCACCGGCTCCGAAAGCACAGAATGTGCTCTTGGCTGCTGCACTCTGTTCTTTACCTTCGAGCCAGCGGGTAGGGTCGAANTCTGCAACGGCCGTGTTTAGCAAAAAATTGCGTTGGATTCTGGAGCATGGGACTTACACTTGAGCGTTTGGCCAGAGGTTTTCATCTCTGTGCATCGTGTAAGCTTGGGTGCTGACTGTTGTGCCCGGGGGAACAAAGTATCCATCGAGTGTTGCGCCACCTTCGGGCACGACTCGAGGAAGACTGCCGGGCACAGCGCAATACAGACGCAAAGTCTCGTGGATGACTGCATTGAGCAGAGGCAGCTGTTCGAGATCGGCATCGGTAAACTCGTCACCCAGCTTGGCAACTTCCTCTTCCAAGGCTGCGCGGAGTTGAGGTCGAGATACGACTGCCCATGAGAGGAATGTCATTGTATTGGCAGTCGTGCCTGAGCCGGCAAAGATCAGTGAGGTTGATTCGGTTCGAACGTCCATATCGTCGACGTGTGTTTCGCCCTTCTCAGCCTCGGCCATGATGGTAGCCATGAGATTCGAGTCTTGGCCACCCTTGCGGGCATTCTCTACAGCTGTAGTGCCGTATCCAAGGATGTAAGCGCTGGAGTTGAAGGCCTCCTTAAGTGGCTTGAAGGGTATACGACTTCCAATGGCACGAAGCCATGGCATTTCGGCGCCAATACCATTGCCGATAAGAGCGGCTTCAAGCACTCGGATATACTCGGTTTTCTGAGGTTGTGGGTTAGATGAATGAAGTTTGTGGGTCGATCGCCGACTTACCTTTCCAAGCTCGAGCATACCAAACGACTCGCCAAAACCAAGGACACCGACAATGTCCGTAGCCATGAACGTCCACCACTTAAGCAGATCCGCAACACCAGTCTGGGCATCGATCTTGATCTTCTCAACAGCAAGCAACGTCTTCTCACGGACAGTAGGCTCCCAGTGCTCTCTGAGGTATGACTTGCTGAAGCCACGAGCAAAGAGCTTTCTGCGCTGACCGTGTTCGCGAGGGTTACGCATGGTAAAGACGCTCAGACGAGGAAAGTTGGTAAGCTTCTCGTACCATATGTCTTTTGCGAATTTGGATGACACGGCATGAATTTGCTTGAAAGCGGCTGGNTCTGCGACGGCAACCTCTGTTGGTGAGATGCGCACGACAGGGCCATATTTCTTGTGTAGGTCATCAATATAAAAGATACGCCGTCCTCCAGTGACAGCAAACTTCAGCTGTAGATTGGTATAGCGACTGATCCAAGGACCTGGTACGTTCTTCAGTGGTGAGGTGAGCGAAACATATATAGTCTGNTCATTGTTGTTGCTTCAGCAGACGTTGAGGTTGAGTAGACCATATATACACACCTGTATCAACCAGAATAGTATGGTAAACCCTATGGCGAGAAGTATGAGCGAGCCTGATAGAGCAATCATCTTTGACAACTTGTGGAGTTCGAACGAAAGTCGATAGGGGCGACAGCACGGGACTACTTATGATGCACCTCCACTTACAACATCACTCGCCCGCACAGCCTTCAGCCCCGAGTGCTGAACAGCCGGACTATCCGCATAGAATTCATCCTTGCAAGTATGAGACCAAGGATCCGCGATGCATTGTCGCAAAATGCATATATGAAAGCTAAACGCAGTCGTCGAATAGAGCATAGAAGTACCAGACAATGTGGCACGCGACCTGACTTGCAAGGAACCGACTATCGAGAAGTTCACGATACGAGAAGTACTCCTCGCAATGGTCTGCATGAGCAGCATCGTACAGACCATGGCGAGACATGATTGGCAAAGGTAAGGAAGGAACAGTATGCTTCTTCGGACATTCGTGGGGGATCGCGAGATAGTTGCATTATACGGGATCAGGTTTCGACAGCAGATTAGCCAGAGAGTTGAGGAATACAGGATCGCGCAGCCTTAGGCCCAGATAGAGAAAGAAGTTGATTGGTACCCATGTCGCTGGGCCTCAAGCTTCTGACCAAGCAATTGATGTGCAACCTTCGTGCGGGGATTACAGTGGTTGGAAATCTCCCGCAGCGCAGACCGACAACCAGGGTCTTGATGTGACGGCTAGGGTACGCTCCAGAGTTGAATGGGTATGTCCAAGCATGTTTTATCGTTGAGTGCTTCAATTGCCCTTGGTTGTACAGATGAGTGCGTCTTATCACCGAGTGTGACTTACCATGGAATATATATGGCGGGGTAACGATCATCGTATGTCACCCAGTGAGGTACCTGTATAGGCTGATCAGTAAGAGGCGCCGACAGATGCAAGCTACAAGCTCAAGACGGGGGCCGCTGATAACAGTCCAAGCGGACGCCCTTTTGTTTCCAAGTCGGATCTGCGAAAGCTATTGGAGTGAGCTTTCCTGACGGCCCAAGGTCTGCAAGTTGATGATGCAAAGCTGACATTGTTGCAAGTGGCAGGGAGGCTCGCAGGACCCGTGGTTGCAATTCTTTGGTCGGTCTCGGCTCGACTTGCCACCGACAGCCAGACAACTTACCATACACCAGTCCTCTTGTTTAGTGCAACCGACTGTTTGTATATTCGGCTCTCCGCTTTATCGATCAGTGGTCATTGGTTGTTCTGAGAAGAGAAAGTCTCAAGACGATTAGTGCATGCTGTGTGTGATTTTCCTCTGCTTGGTCGTGTAGCCGGACACGAGTACGGTCAGCAATGATTGAACAGTGTGGGCATGATTCTTTTGATGATGGGAAGAGATAGCTCTCAAGAGCATCTACGCAATCGTTGGTTACGTGGAAGATGCTTCGGTCGTTCCTGCCCTTGAATGAAGTAGAAGCAGAGCTGTGACGGAAGGCATCACCTTCGTCTACTCATCTCGATCAAACCTCCCTCGAAGATACATACCTAGACAACCAAATCCACCACCATTAATCCAAAATTCAACATCATCTATTGTCATCGAACTTTGTTAACATATCATCCATCAACCCCAAACACATCTAGGATGGCCGGACCAAGCCCAATCCCGTCGCAAGGCCCCCTCGGACCTCTGTAAGGCGATATATGAGCGTCTTACAGACTGCATTTCACTGACCACCCCACGCAGCCGTCAGCATGCGGGATTCCTCTCCTTCCTTGCCGTCACCGGAGGACTTTTATGGATACTCAGGTCCAGATCTATGGCTCGCAAGCCCTTCGGAGAACAGCAGAAGAAGATGGAGGATGTCATCGACCGTAATTTCGGCTCTACCAAAGACGGAGCATATCAGAAAGAGATCCCCACACACGTTGATGAAGCGTGTTGAATATCTAAACCGACAAGACTACCCTAAAGACACCTCGACACCCCTGGGACGCAAGATGGAATGGAAGAACGAATTATGAATAGAAGCATTAAGTTCGTGTAAATAGAGTGGCCGCAAAGCAAGCCGTGAAACAGCCAGTGTAGCCTATCGGTGTAAAAGTATATCATGCTTTGCCTCCAATGGCTCCGAGCCTAGTGTAACCACCTAGATCTGTGCCTTCATGCAGCGCTCTAACCAGGATATTGTGCAGAAAAGAAGAAACCCAGCCCAGAAACGCCTCATCCAAGATTCCATGAATATGCTGACACTCATGAGGTTTGCTCAAAACCATGCTTTTCATAGTCCTTGGTGAGCATTTGATCTCTAGCCTCATAGTGGCCTTCCATCCTCCAGCGCCAGCTCTCCATATAAGGCTTGAGGTCCGTGACTTCTGGTGCCCACCACTTGTCATGTAGACTCTTAACTCCACCAAGAAGATCATCAACCTTGGGATAGTGGATGTTCCATTCATTGCCGAGCTGAGTCCAGGGCATGTTGCCGTCCTTACGATGAGCGTAGTTCAACAAGTTCTGCTCAGGGAACTGAGGGTCGAAGCGGCCGTCCAGTTTGAGTAGCGACATGTAGTACTCGAAGACTTCGGTCGAAGGCTTGAAGACGAAGAAACCAGCGTTGAGGTAGTTGACGTTGGGAAAGTCGTGGTGTTCGTCGGTGGGAGGATAACCGTGCTCGCGCTTCATCTCAGGTA